GTGTATTATAAAGATTCGTACTTATCTGTTATTTCTACTTATTAATTATATTGTTTTTTTATCGATAAAAAATACTATCTGTGTACGGCATACCGTCAACAAGCCACGAGACGAAATTAAAAAACAAAAAAATAGCTTATACTGCTGACGGGTGTGCTACCGTTGTGGATGGGAAGTTAAGAAGATAGAAAAAATAGAGTTATTTAGTTTATATCTGTACGCAACGATTTAATCATTACTGAAACGTGTTTTGAAACTTGAATTGATTGAATCAAAATTTTTCAATCAAAATTGTTTACAGACAGAAAAAAAACACATATGTAGTAAAATCAATATATTCCTCCCTGCTCTCAGAATCGAACAAAATAAAATCGAAAATGACGGAAACCGTTTCCCCACGTTTTTTCGCGATTATCAAGAAAACTCCAAAGAAAATCAAAAAATGGCCTCCACGAAGCACTGACTAGACAATATTTGCTTTCAGAGAAGATGCGCTCAGAATCTAAAACGATAAAACCGCTTGGAGGCTATAGATATTCGATAAAAAAAAAAAATTTAGTGCTGACGGCGCGTAGCGGTACTCATTGCGGGGTCGTGTCGTATAGTATATAAGTATATGAATGAAACCCACACGCGCAGCACTCTTCTGTAAAGACATAATATACTATAAACAGTGTATAAACAATAACGCATGAGATTTTTGTTTATCTATATAATAATACGGTCTACAAAAAAATACGAGAGCATCAATGTGTTTGTTGTGCACGCTCGTGTATTAGATTTCTTTGCCGCGTGCGCGGAACGTTGTTTTTACAGGAACCCATTCGTCTTAATTTTTTTTTTCTTAATGTATAATATTGTTCAGTAGTAGCCGCGAGAGTAAAATACTCGTAATTTACCCAAATTGTCATCAAAGTGGAAAATTGAAAATGAAGACGTATAAGATACTTTTAATAATAATAATAATAATAATAACAATAATATACTATGAAATAATACTTATACGATTGAACGAACGGAAATCAATATTGAAAACACTGTTCCAAAAACTGCAAACTGGGAAAAAAGGAATAAATAAGAAACAATGATAACGAGGCTAATAATGGAAGAAAAAAACAAAAATAAAAACTGGAAGAGGTTAGGTAAGATACCAATAGGGAGATTGGGGAGAGATGTAAGCTACCCAAAAATTAACTAACCCGGGTGCCTTAGCTAAGACTTGATTTGGGAGACCCCAAATCAAATCCTTATCTAGTTTATACTAAGTCTATATTATGGGATGTTAGCTCTCCCCAAATATTAGGGCTTTTTGGACTTATGTAAGCGAAAAGGTAGATCAATAACTTCATTTATAAAACAGAACATAAAAAACAGACAAGGAAAACCACTTATAAAAGAACTGAAAGTTGACAGTAGCTGTGGTGGTTAGGGAGGATCGGAGGTTCATCGAAATCACTGAACCAAATATGGAAAAAAAATCTAAATATTTTGTATTATTATTAGGGAACTAGTTAAACTCTTATCGCATTTATAAGATACACTATAGTAATCTTGCTCGACGTTAACCCGCGATCGTGACAACCAAATTAATATCACCGGGAATAATAATAAAAAAAAATATGCATTTTTCGTATTACAATGGTGCAAAAGTCTTGTGTGGGCCAATCTTTAGAGATTAAATTTCGGTGAAAACAATTCTGTACGATTAAACACTAGAAAACTACGAATCTAATAATGGTATAGTTACATAACTATAAGGTTTAAAGCCTAAAATCACCATTTGAGCATGTAGCATACTTACGCACAGATAGGCGGAAATCAGAAAATTCAGAAATTAATAATATTTTATCTATAATTGCAATGCGTTCGATATCTGATTGGATAATATAAATACGTTTCACGAATTTCTAAGCAAATTAGCCATTTTTACATATATATATTTTTTTTTTAAATGTATAAAGTATTGAACATTTCGAAAAAATATTTAAATCAACTACCACCGAATAAAATATCCGCATGTATTAGTATTAAAACTATAATGCCCAATAATCTATGAAATCGAGGTTATACGATAAAAACTGTACTATTATTATATAATGGTCGAGTTGAAAAATTTAACAGAAAAAAGAACGGACATACTTCGAACGTGAATGTAGTCACTTTTGTAAGTGAGTGAGAAGTTGGGAAGGTTGGATATTGATCGGAATTTAATATATATTTGTATATCGATAAACCAATGCAAACGAAAAAACGATTCTGAGCAGAGTTAAGTTGATAATGTTGTTTTGTCAACAATATATATATATATATGTCAATATGTCATATTATGATAAAATGATTACAAAAATGAGCGTTTCCATGACAACAATGAGTGTTTAAAAAATATTTTTAAAATAATAAAAAATTAATAGTAACAAAAAATAAATAAAAACGGTTGCTAATGACAACCTTATTTTTAATCTTTAAATCTTTTTTAATCTAAAGAACCATGTTTTCCTCAATATCTCGAATATTAATAAGAATTTCAAAAATTGACCTCTTTAAATACCACACATTTCTTTTCAGAAAAGTTGCTATACTTAATAATCAGAGTATGCTTTCTGATAGAAAAAGTGTTCACATTAAAAAAATAATAATAAATAAACATCTTTGTAAAACCAATACATTCCTCGCTCCAATTAGAATCTAAAATTACTTTCGACTTTATAAACACAGTTTATTTTTTATTTAATTTCTTGTCTACTCGTACTTATCGTAAGTGTGCGACGTCACGTTATTCCGTTACATCGATTCTTAGTTCTTACATCGACTTTCTCATGGGATATCACAATTGATAATATTTGTATTATTTACTTGGTACTTATAAACGTATATAGATAACAATTATTATCGAGAGACTGCTCTGTTATATTACTATATTATGGTTGTATAAACCGCATAGTCAATATATCGTTATTCGCAGTGTGTGTAAACATTTTCAGATTCAATATTCAATGCAATATATTACGCTGTTTTTATGAAACCCGTAAAAATGTATTGTTACCTACTGTATAGGTAGGTGGCAAAAAAACGCGATTTTCTTATCAAATAATATTGCGAGTATCCGTTGTAATAAAAAATTGTTTACATCAACTAACAATCATATATATATATATATCATAAAGTTAACGTTATATTGAGTGACATAGTTGCGGACTTTCAACATTTTTTTTCGGGTGGGAACCTGAATAATCATAAGTATTTCTGAAGCATCTCTTGCAATAGATGCCTCCTTTTAGATGACATTTTATTGAAATTATATCCATGTCTTGACAGTCCCCTCCCTCCCCTCCTTGAAAATCTGTCACTGGAGTGATAACATAATGTCATCGTACAAAACTTAAATTTCAATTTGAATATTTGTTATTATTTATGTATCAAGTGGTGCAGCTAGTTCCTAAAACCATGATGAGCGTTAAAATATATGATAATAATTTGTTTCGTATCTCACGCTGCACAGGTGTGACTCCCGTGTATTTTATGCAAATGACTATGTACTTCACAAAACAGAATTATTACTATAATATTGTACAGTGTGATTGTGTTTCCGAGCAACACGAAATATTTCGGCCGGATGAACTTGAATTCGAATTCCGTAATCGGGAGGTGATTAGGAGTATTGAATTAGGTACACACTTTGGAATACATTTCAGTTTTAACCCGTTCGGTGCACGCACGTGAATTACAAATGTATTTTGATTTTTTTTTTTAATAGCAACACCTATTTTTTTACACTATATAATTCAAATAGCACAATAGTAGAAATAATATTTCTTTCTAGAGTAACACACCTCGTAGAGTTGGCCGTTATTTTCTGAAACTCCCTACATTTATCGTGTTCTCAAAATGTTTATTCTTCGCTAAACATTAATTTGAGTATAAAGTACGAGTTCTTTACTATATGTTGAAAATAGATATTTAATTTCTCTCAATGGAACTCGTGAAAAAATTTGATTGTATTTTTGAAACGTGTAAACAAAAATGTACTATGTTTTGCACGTCATGAGAAAAAGAATTGAAATTCAAAAATTAATTCCGACGTATCTCAGTTAAGAACCAAAATAATCATAATACGTTTCCAGTTACAGTTTTGTCTGGCTTTTCGGTCCAAAACGTCGCGTTCGTCCGTAAAAACGGTAATTTACAAGGGTAAATCCTTAAACGGATATCGATCAGTGGATTAGCGGAAGTGCGTAATGGTGGTCGTAGAAATGTGAAAAAAAAAATCAAATTTCAAGTTTCGCAAAAATGGAAGAAAATTCGGCGAATCGTTTTTCAGGAAAAAATATCGAATCGTACGGAATTATTTATCTGTCCGGGACGAGTCGCGGACGCACTTGCTGGCGGCTCGTTATTTTACAAGCGTCGCGAGAGTGCAACTCTCTCTCACTCTGGGCGAGACCGATACGACCGCACGACACTTGTGCGCGACCGCGCCACCGGTGGACCCGCGGCGGGCGGTCCCGCGACCGGGAGGCGGCGAGAGTGCGCGCCGCGCGAGCGCCGACGCCATTGGCCCGCCGCGGTCGCCGCCGCCGGTCCCTGTTTCTCGCTTCGAACCCCGCGACTAGACCCCTCGGCGCGCGCGGTATCCGTACGTAACCGTCGTCCGAACCGCGAACACGTATTTTATACCGCGCGCTCTTGTACCGGGTCCCCCGCCGTACACGGGTACGCCGATCTTGTTGTTATTATTTCCCCCCTTCCTCTCCGATTATACCGTAACATTATATTGTTGTAATATACCGCGATATCGTATAGTTGTCGAAGAAACATCGCGCCGCCGCCGCCGTTGTTGTTGTTGTTGTTATGCCATTTCGGGATCGAGAGCGGATTTCGCGCGTTCTGTTTTGAACGCCGCCGGCTCCCTACCGAGAAGACTTCGCGACCGTATCGTACCCTGCCCGCGCCTCCCGCCGCGGGATTTTCACGCCTCTTCACCGTCCGCGCCCGCACCACGGATGACCGAGGACAAGAACCTCACGCCGTTCTCCATAGCGGACATACTGAAGTCCAACGACCGCGAAGGAGGAAGACGAGGAAGCGATGGGAACGGAGGTCCGGAACTACTTCGCTCGGACGCGAACTGCACCCACGGAGCGTTGGACATGACCAACAACAAATACGGCGTCCACAAAAAAGGTACGATTGCTTCGCGGACAGCGTCTGGCAATTGTTTATAGGTTCCGTCGGGAGGTTTGGTTTAATGAAGCGCCTCTGCTTGTGGGGATTATCGGATATAATACTATAATTACCTTTCCTCTCCCCCCTAACCCATGAAAATGACGTTGACGCTGTAAGTGTTTGAAAAGAAGTAGGTACTTCAAATTACTATTAATTTTGTTATATCTCTATGAATATTGCGATTAAGTGTATGATTAAGTTTACTGCACGGATAAAAAATAAATACCCGACGTTTTTAATTTAAATAAAATTAACAGTTTTTTTTTTAATCAAATATAATACTGCAAGAGTGTGTAGTTTAAAAAAAAAAAAAAAAGGAAAAAATTTGAAGAAAGTTTGATTCTGAGTACGCTTCTGGATAGACTGGTAATAACTGTGTCATAATATAATTTACATATTGAAGATTAACGCGTAGAAAATTATTACGCAAAAAATTACGGGGTCTAGGGAGCACAAAAGTTGTAATTTCCCGGGCGATTTACTCGTCGCCTCTCCGAACAGACGTCTTCGTGACGGTGGCGGAAACGAATATTTATAATTTGCAGATTTTGTTTGATCGAAAATTTAAAAAAATTACTATATTTTTCGGGTTTTTTTTTTTTTATTATTATTTGCGTCATCGTTATACGGGCGCGATAAGTGTACATAACGCACACTTAGTCAATGACTCGGAGTTTCCGTTGCAAATATTACTGTTTAAACACTTCAACGTTTATTAAGTATTTCCTCCGTGTCAACAACATAAAGGTATAAAGGTTTTGCGTTATCGCGAATAATTGAAAATCGCGTTATTTACGTTTTAAACATTAGGCATACACTATATACTTATATAATTATTATTTTCAGCTTTAACATTAATGTAAATTTTAAATTCTGAGCGTAGCGTTAAATATCCTTATAACAGTTGTATTATTATATGTGCTTTTAGGTTCTGAGCAGAGCGAGGAATGTATTGGTTTTATAATGATGTTTTTTTTGTTTTTTCTCCGGACATTTTTTCTATCGGTAATTTTGCTCCTATTTACAATGATAGAAATTTTTCCAAAAGGAAATCTTACTGGGTTTTTTTTTTTTATTTTTTCAACTGTTTTCATTATAAATGGGAAAAATCTGAAAAAAACATGGGAAAACGATAAAATAGGTATTATATTAAAAAAATATTATTAAAGAAAATATATAATGCATATAAATAACCATTTTACCATAATATAACATATATATATTTTATTTTATGCATACATTACAAGCAGGTACCCAATTTACAATTAATATATATAGTATAATTAAAAATTACAAGTGTGATATAAAGGTGAATACAATCATTAAAAATAACTTAGTTTGGTTTATGAAATCATAAAGGAGGGGTCTGAATTAGCAATAAACATACATCGTCAAAGTGGTTTACTTAAACCATAATTGTTGAAGGAGGTTGGTAAATTAAAAATGGTACCTATGTTGACGTGTGAAGCACGGAGGGGCATTTATAGAAATTAGAGAGTAGGTGTGGTAAGTCAATCTGCCCATTTAATAATTTAGAAAGAAATTTAAAATTAATAACATGCCACGATCTGCTAATGAATCAAGTTTGATATGCTGTTGACAAAATAACACTATTAACCGAACGCTGCTCATAATCGTTTTTCGTTAGCAATTTTAATTGTCAATCGTTGCATACAGATATGCATTAAATACATGTTCGTTTTTTTGTGAGCGTACTTTTCTACCGGAAATCTTGCCCTATCGGAAGAATTTTTTTTATACAAAATTTTGTTCGGTTGTTGCGTTGGTTGATTTTCAATAAAAGTTGTTTTTATAATAATTGAAAAAACGGTAGGTACTTAATATGTTTACAATGTAAACATATTGTATACATATGTTAACATATGTAAACTTTACATATTTACGATTTTTAATAATTTTGATTTTATTTTTTAGTTGTAATTCATTACACGTGTCGAAACTTTCTACAAAACCCAAAGTAGTGATTTAAAAAAAAATATTTTAAATAAAAATGTCGGTGTTACAAATATTTACTTACGGTGAGCCGGTCATTAATTAGTAAAGGAAATGAAAACAGTTTAAATTATCGTAAATTCCGAAAAATTGGAAGAAATTAACTAACCGTCGTTAGTAAATATTTGCAACACTATAATTTATTGTTCCGAAATTAATTTATAAAATGGCCATCTCGGATTTTGCAAAAAAAAATGTATATATTTATTTAGTATTGTCATTGATTTTATAATGTTATTATGACCAATTGTATTATTTATTAACGGACATGATATAATACCTAATTAAATATATAAAAATCATTGCGTTCGTCTCGAGCAGTTATTGTGCATAAAAGAAAAACACTACAAACAGACTAAAGTATTATTACATTTTGCCGGGTGTCCGTGAGACACCCTGTATTATGTTGTTATAAATATTTTACTGTCGTCGGGCGATGACACACACGATGTACGTCGTGTAAAAAAACTCGAGTAGGTACGACTATTAGGTATAAATATATTATTATTATAGTACAATCGTACAGGGTATTGAAATAATACATAATGTTTCGTCCCAGGTATTATGCGCCAAACCGTGTTGTTTATTCGGAAACAAAATACAATACAATAATATCGGTTATACAATACCTAATAATATAATGGCGTTTGAAAGTAAACGTATTCTTGTCGCGTACCCGAACCGTTTCAAAGAAAAAGGTTTACAAAAGATCAAACAGTCGCCGAAAGTAATACGGTAGCGGCGCCGAATCGGTTTTGAACTGTTCTCCGGTCAATTTTCATTATAGGGCCAACCGCCGCCTACCTATTTAGGTATTAACCAGGATGACCGCGGGGTTACTTTATCCGCCGGGACGGTAGCACCCCATTATCGTAAACATTCGTCAAAATGTCTGGCTATTGAAAATTTCTGTAGGTTCAATAGGTTCAATTCGGTGTCTGAAAATTGCATCCCCAAAAAAAAGTCATAATCATAGGATATAGGGCGCGGATTTTTATGTAAATCCGTAATTTTATCGAATGCAGATTTCGCAATTCTGATTAAAAATATTAATACGTTCACCCTGAATAAAATACAAGTTTTTTATTATACATATTTCCACACATTTCGATGTAAATGCATATTTTTACATATTTTACCAATGAGTACCAATTCAATTTAACAGAAATATTGACACTTACGCCATTATTATATTAAAAATAATTTTCTGAATACAAATAAACACACATCATTGGATATTGAATTCGTACCATCTGCATAATATATCAAGAATGAAAATATATTTCCCATTATTCTTGGTCGGTGTTGAACGCTCCTTACTAGCCGCTACAAATCAATTTTGAGACCTAACCGCCTGCGTACATTTAAATTTGATAATCTCCGAATGTACTTACGTTCTTTCCAAGAAGACGAATAAATGAAATAAATGAATAAATAAAATAAAAAAACATCTTAAGCTATATCTAATTTAATTTAATTTAAAAAACCTATATCTACTACACTTGTTTTATACGATTACAATTAAAAATTAATTTAAAACACGTGTACATATTTTGACTTTTTTATTACATAAAAATCCGTGTCCTATTCATATTCTTATGGTGACCAGACGTACTCTTTTTCGTATGACAGTTCTCTTTTTTGATGCATTGTCCTATATCCTTAACAATTATGTTAAGTACATGAAATTGTACACATTTTTTTTTTTTCTGAAAATATAAGCTAATACGTGTTCATGTAAAAATTCATGTTCATTAAAATCATAAACATATGATTTAGTATAGTTTGATTATTCATTTAGAATTTAATATTTTATGGTTCCACCTAGGTATTGCATTACAAACGTTCGTAAGTGACTAACAATGGTTGAATTTATTTATTTTAATTTTTACCTTTAAACATTAAAAAGGCACATGTTATATTTTTTTAAATTGTTATGTTTTTGTAATAAATATGTAGGAACCATATAAATACATGTTTGTATTTATTTGATAAATGTTTACGTTTAAAAATTAATTTTAATATTTATACTTTAGTTATACGTGTGTACTTTAAATTTACTTAAAATTACTTAAATTTCAAAGTATTTTCATCATAAAAATACAAACCAAATTGGTTGAAATTATGATTTCAAATAATTAGTTTTTATAGTTGATAATAGAAAAAATAATAATAGAATAATCAGATAAAAAAAAAATTATATATAGATGGAGATGAGCTATGCGCAAAATGGGTAGAATAGTATACACATTGGCCGATTCTTTCAAGGGAGGGGTTTTTTTTTATAATGGAGGACATCAATTTTAAAATGTATGTTTTTTTGGATTTTCATATCTGGTCACCATACAAATACTATGTAAATTGCGGCCCGGGTATATTTTTTATAATATTTGTATTAAGGTGCCACTTATTTTTGAAGAAATTCTATCCATTTAACCCCCTCCCCACGCTATCACCTCGAAAATATGGTCTGGCCTTGACTAAACTTGAATCCCTTGTTTGGCGCCAATGGACATTAGGTACACCACTAGGTATAGTGCAAGATATTAAAACTGTTTCAACCGTTTAATGGTTTATTAAAATGCGTTTTTGAAATCTTATCACTGCAGTATTGATTTTTGTTTGTATTATGCATTGTTTTAAAGAACAGCACGTCTAGAATTTATTTTTTTTTCACATTCCACAAATACTTACTTTAAAATATTAAACAGTTAAGTATATCTTTGACTCAATTTTAAAAAGATAACAAAATATCATAATATATTAAATTAGTGTACAAAATGTTCGTAAAATCGTTTTGATATATGAACATTATAAACGGGTATAATGAGTATGTTCAGCTAAACCGATTAAATAAATATTGAAAACCGATTTAATTTCAAATCATTTTACTGTCACGTCGTACAAAAGTACTAGGCGAACGAGACTGTCTTGCGCCTCTAAAAATATAATATGCTTGTCAAACGGACTTCGAGAATTTTATTGTTTGATTTTCCTTTTAGTTTTCTTAATAGTGGGAAGGGAAACGTAATTTGATTTTTTCGTTGTAATCCAGTAAAAATTAATCGCAGATAACGGAAATTACAAAATTTCAAAACATATTTAACCTAACTTCGCTCAGAATATTTGTTTGTTACTGATGATTTATCGTTGCAGACGGATATACATGTAATTACCCTTTTCCTACCTCTTTTTCAGACTTCAACAAATATAGTTATTATCCTATACAAAATACGTGTTTACAGTTTTACTGTGAAACCGTAAACATAATAATATTATATTTTATAGTTTCACGGTCGATTGTGGCTTATGTCAAAAGGTGACTTCCATTCGCTTTTTGAGATGTTAGGTGAGTATACCATTCTAAACAAATTTTTTAACTTGTTTACGGGTGAGATGTGTTTATATACACAATTATTTAGATTTCATATTATTGTATTAAGAGTGTTCAAAAATGAATTGAAAATCGTACATTTTTTCTCTTTTCCATTGGATTTAAACGAGTACAATTTCCACCGATTTGGTGACCACCTAAAGAAGATTTATGATTGTCCACTGTTGAAAGAATGTCCGGTTTTGCAGCCATTCGTATTTGAGAAGTTTAAAGTGTAATCATTTTGTCCGTATATATAAAATGGTGGTTTACTAAATAGTGCAAATAAGTTGAGTTTTCAGCATTTTCTTACTTTTATGTTATATAATAGGTTCTCTAGTTGTTCCTAATTTTCTATCCGGTTTAAGACTATCAAGTGTATGGTCCATCTGTAATAATTATTTGAAACGATTTTTATCATATGGCAAGAATATTATTATTCTCGTCGTTATGATGTAGCATTTTAAAATGTACGTAGTAGTACTTCTTCACTTTTTAAACCGCAATAAATCGTAACTTACATTACTCGTTATTCGGGATAGTTAATTATAACTCATTGTTAAGTTATAAAATGTAGTAATCCGTATAGCAAATAGTCACTTTTGAGTAACTCTATACGTGTCACGCATTACTTTCCAGCTTTGCCGAGAACACGCATTACTTTCCAGCTTCGCCGAGAACACGCAACTATAGAAACCCAACCAAATAATATGTTATAGGTATTATTTTATTCCGGTTTTCGGTCCCGACGAATCAATACATCTGTCGAACAAATTTAAAAACGTTTTGATAATAATTAATTTCTATTATTACTCGACCGCGGTCATAGATTTAACCGTCCTCTCCCCTCCCCCCTCCCCGGCCCGATCCGATCCCGTACACTCATTTGCCACTTGCGTGTTGTCTATACAACGTTTATATAATTTGTTGATTGATTCATTCTATTTATTGAATAGCTTTAAGAGAATAATATAAACGTATTATATATGCGTACGATTAACTTATTTATTAGATTGTTGTGCGCTCTTGTGTTAAATTTTAACGTTTTTCTGAACGGAGGGGAAAAATTAAAGCGTTCGAGTTTTAACGCGTAAACACAATATTCTTAATTTAAGAATAAATAAACAGAATTAAAACGTTCGTTAATTAATTTGATATATTTATAAACATATATTGTATTGAATTATAATACAAATAAATATTCACCGCTGCACTAATAACGCGTTCGACGCAGTAAGTATAATAAAATATTATAAATAGTTTGTTTTCATAATAAGTCAACACTTTGGAATTAAAGTTCTTCAACGATACTTAAAAACACTTAAAAATGTTCCAAGAACATTTTTTTCCCTAGGATAAAATTTATTTTCGTGCAGTTTAATGAAATTCTGCATCGTTTTAATGTCGTCATTATTACAGTCTTACATTTTCTTTTCCATTTTCTTATAATTTTCAAGAACAAATTAATTTTTTCTCTGTAGTACTTTCACGAGTAAAAAACATTTTTTCATAGTCTTATTAACTATTTCCTGCAAGTATTTAGCGCATCGGTTCGTAGCTAGTTATTATTATTATTATTATATTATGAACTCTATTGGTAGTACGGTTTTGTTTTTACGACGTTTTGAAAAAAATCTATTCGAAAACGGGTTTGTCACTTGCGACTCTGCCGGAGGAAACTTTTTTATTTTCGCCCACAAACTTCTATATAGGTATGGTACCTATATTATATAGGAGATCATCATTATCCACTTGAACGCGGACGCATCGGCGGTCGGTAGGACACCGCGGGACGGGGGCTGGACGGTAATAATGTCCCGGTGGTAAACAAAAAAATAAAACGGTGGCGGGGACCCCGCGTGGTCGTCGTCGTCGGACGCAAACAAACGTATCGCGTGATGGGAGCAGACGTTTTGTTTGAAAAAGTCAAGTGATGCATTAACCGCGCGAGCATCGCCGGTGAGTGCTCCTCGTCCCTATCGTTTTAATAATAATAATATCATATATATATATATATATCTGATTACCGATGACGACCGCTTTAATCAATTAGAGGAGAGGAGAGGGGAAAAAATGAAAAACGACAGAGCCTAGTGTGTTTGTGTGTGTGTGCGTGCATACGTGTGTAAAGTAAATGAACCTTATGGTTCACTCGTGCACTCACACGATCTAAATATTATATTAGGTATAGTAATTAATTATATTCTTATGTATATTATATCTACGGGGCTAAGAGACCAAACGCGATATTAGTCCATGTCCAATTTGTGAAGATTTTATAAGAGTCTGCATACTATAGGACGGGACATACCTACTTCGCATCATATGGCCTCGGGAAATAGGATAGTATTAATATGAAATATCGAGTATAATAATCCACTTATCGTGAACCCGCAGCGATTATCTCAGGATGTTTAAATGGATTCGATTTTCGACCATTATTGAATCGTTTAAGCTTTATTTCAACACTATTTTAAATTTTCTACTTCTATACCTTCTACCTTATACCCGAAATGAGTATAAAATTTGGATTTTCAAATCCGTACAATACCAATAACTGATTTACTGTTTATGAGTTATAACGGTTCAAAGATTGGAGTGGAGGAGTTTGGATATGGGTATGCATTTATCATCTAAATTCAAGTTTAAACAATTTGGATATCCGGGTATAGAATTTAGAATTAAATGTACCCGGCCTTACCAAACTATTTATCAATAATTTGTAAATAGGCAGCTGAGAAATAGATTTTATATCGTACGAGGAGACACTTGTCAAACAGTTCATTGTGTGATAGCAGGGTGTAAAATTGAGTGTATAGTACATCAGACTGAATGTAATACGAAATATTAAGTGTGCATTAGGAAATTAAAAAGTGTACAGTGGTTATATTATGATATTTATTAATTATGATAGCTATAAATAGCCTAAAAATAGCAATTTCCTTTTTGGATATTTTACCTCGTCTACAATAATTTTTAACCGACTAACAACAAAAAACCCCAATTTCATACACATTGCCGTATTTCCTACGTTTTTTCTCCGTGTTTTCGTAACTATTAGGAAAATTATACGGAAAATAAAACAACAGTTATTTTATTCACAAACTAGATAAAATTTTTTTTTAGAAAATATGCTATTCTTGAAATTCGGACAAAGGTTTCGGGTAGAAAAATATAAACTTGAAAATATGAAATAATGAAATCGTGTCGTAATTTTAAAATTTCGTATGTTTCACTAGCTGTATATTAAAAGAGACAAAATCGATCACTTGTAATTTTTCAATTGGAGCAATATTTCTGTTAAAAACAGTTCGCAAAAATTAAAAAGATGAAAACGATAATGTCGTGGTGCACCGTAAGTATTAATCGTTTACCTATAATTTTCTTTCGGATTTTCCCAATTATTTTAAAAACCCCTTGAAAAATTAAAAAAAATTATCTCTGTAATGCACCAACTAGATAAATTTTCTTTCAGAAAAAATGCTATTTTTAATACATTGAAGCAAGATTTTTAGTAAACTATTTGGATTTACAGACAAAAAAATACACATAATCATAGTAAAACCAATAGATTCCTCGCCACGCTCCGAATCTAAAAAAATATACAAATTTTTTCCCTCTCAGAAAATTTAAAATCACGTCTTAAAGGTAGATAATATAATATAAATTTTGAGTTTTAAATCTTTTTTTTTCTTTTTTTAAATGGACCATTTGTGTTTATAATATGATTATACCTAGATATAGATGATGTTTTTATGGAAAATGCTACAGCGTTGATGGCCGGAACGAGATTTCTGATGGGTACTAAATTTGTTCATGGACGGGAAAAAAAACACACACACCGCAGTAAAATCAATACATTCCTCGTCGCTTTGCTCAGAATCCAAAAAACGAACCGGTCGTTCTTATATCGAATAAACTCGCGCCTTCTATTTATTCATTTTTTTGCACACACAATGATATTAATTCGCGTCGCACAAACGACGACTGCGGTGTTTATTGGCTCCAATAATAAGCTCCATCGCTACGACGACGAAGAACGAATAATCAAATTTACGGTTCAGTCATTATACGCACGTACCTACTGTTTACGTGTACATACTCGTACGCGGGACAAAAGTCGTAAAAAACCGTTTATTACTTTTAAATGTGACGCGTGTGCGACAATTAATACCGAACGGCTTGCGGTAAACGTCGTCGGTAAAAAAAAAAAATAACCCCAAAGTCCATTAGCCGGTGTTGCGACGCGTGCTGTACGCGTGTCAAGGTAAAAGCCGACCGGGTTTGCCCGCAGTACAAGTGGTGCAAGTGTCACGCGTCACTACGTTCGTTAATATTCGCGGGGTTAGACAAGGAAAAAAAAAACCGGAAAACCTTTTAACGCTATTAGCCAACGCCGTCACACGGACTGTTGTACTCCGGTGGCACCGACTTGTACGGGTCGTTGTTAACCGTTTCCGTTCGGTCATAATAAAAATAAATAATAATATACGAATATTGGTGCGAACGACACTTTTCAAACAAACCCCGGCCCCGAGTTGATAATAGCCAGCGTATATGATATCAGCGCATATTATTATCCGCAGGCATATCGCTCGCGGTGTTCGGATTATAGTGCGGAAAAAACAAGCGAATGTATAGACTGGGATATATGGTACGGGCGTAGCGTCAAGACAAGAAGAAACGACGGGGAAAATTCGGGAAGATTTAGGCGAGAGTAGACGAGACGAGATAGGCGAGATAGACGAGGTATCACTATCGTAAGTGTTGATGGAAACCTGGGAAGAGATAGACGGCCTTGGTTAGGTTGAGTTCAATTTTCGAGATACGGGGCGGTAATTTCGTTTAAGTTTCTCGTTTTATTTATTTTTACGATTCCGGGCACTGGGTAGACCGACGAATAAGTGGCTAGATTTGATTATTAGGGGAGGTACGTGGGCGTGTGAAATAGCTGATGAATAACGGTGATGGATAAGGGGATGTGAAGGGTGAGAACAAGAGTAGGTGATCCCGCTTGGGTGAGATAAAGGCGAAAAGGCAGAATAAGAATTTTATAACTCATAAATAATATAAAAACCCGTCATTATTTTATTCTTTGTTGGGATTTAATAGTCCATACGTGAACAATGAAACAATTTCTTTCAAAAAAATCAAAAGGTTTTTTATTTAATTTTTTTTTTACAAGTATTTTATGAAAATACAATTACAATTATATGTAAAAAAAAATTGTTTTTCCTAATTGCATGCCTTGGGTTAAGGTATACTGTATAAATAGTCTAAATTTCTTAACCCGGACTTGGCCACGCCCCCTTAATATTTTTTACTGCACTCGTCGACGATTGGCTTAACGATGGAATATATAAAAATATATTGCACCCAGACTTGCGAAAGCTATCTTTATACAAATATTTTAAGTATATATACAGGTACTATAATATTTTAAAATGCATTTCGAATACGTAGATACCTACTTGATAAGCACTTCACTAAAAAATTTATTTTAGTACGAATACAGATACTTTTAAAAAGTATGTATATATTTTTTAAAAACTTGTAATAATTTATCCATCCAATAGGATAGAATCATTAATATGGGTTTTTTTTTTTTTTTTTGTCTGGTTTAATACCAGAACAAGGTGAAATATCGATTTCATGTACGTTCCGAAGCGGTTTAATGCCATGCGTTTCGATTTAAAACATGGAACAAAATGTTCAAAAAGACGAACGGACATAACCCGGATTAAGGGGGGTCCAAAGAAGGTCATGGCCCCGGGACTACCAGACTCCCAGGGCCGCGGGTTTTGTCAACAATATGTTCTTAATGTATGCATTTAACCATTAACTATTTGATATTTTTTAATTGCCTCATGATGACTTATTCGTATTATTATACAGTAAAAACTACTATACCTATAGTGACTATGTTAGAACTAATGTTTTTATTTATTTGAATAATATTTGTGGCTTTTGGATTGACATCTCTATGGCATCTATACTGTTTATTATTTTTCTATTGGTATAACATTGATTAGACAAATGTTTAAAAGAAACGTAAAATTGTTAGTCAACGATGGCCCAGAGGCCTCTAAATGTCTTGTTCGCACCACGGGTGGGTCACTGTTGTAAATGAGAACCGTGTATATATTGGGTGTAGATTGGAAGATTTGCAATAGGGGTATTCAAAGACTAAATGTCACCATCTCCCGAGACATTAAACGGTAATTCAATATTGAAATTAATTCCAACTTTTAACACCTCAATCAACCTGTATAAAACAGCTCAAATTTTCTATAATTCGCGAGATTCAGCTAAATTTAATCCAAACGGAGTCACTAAATATGCCCAAAAGTTATAACGAAAAAAGATGTCTATTGTCCACGAAGATGTATCCATTGTAATATCTCCGGAGATAATAAAGATATTTAAGTTCTGTTATTTCATATTACTCATATGGATAAGGACTATAAAATATTTATATTTTAATTAATTTTTTTCTTGTTTTAGTAAAAAACTTAAAAAAACAATTTTTTATTTTATACATTTTGAAAAATTTGAAGATATCCATTCTATAAAGTTTATTCATATGGAAATTTTAACGTTTCGAATTTTTATTTTTGTAAATTCGTGATTTTTAATAATTTTTTAAAGTTTTTAAAAAAAAAACAGTCAAAATGTAACAACCTAACCTTTATGGTGACGTAACTAGTTACATTGTGTGGGTAGATTGTTACACTATAACATTGTACATACAAATAAAGCACAATAATAATAATAATAATAATAATAAGCACTTTAATAATCATAATCAGCAATAATAAAAATGAGCATTTTAATAATAATAATCAAATCAGCATCATAATAATCATCAATAATTTTAATAATACGAATCGACAATAATAATAATCATAATACTTATAACAACCATCAATGATTATAACTAATGTTAATGGTTATTAACAAATATCATAATCAGCATTTTAATAACTTAATCAACAATAATCACGATAATAATTTTAATAAGGGTGTATGAATGATGCTGATTTGATTATCATTATTGTTATTGCTGATTGTGATTATTGAAGTGCTTATTATTATTATTATAATTATTACTATGCTTTTTTCATAACGCTTATTACAATTATTATTACGATTTATGTTGTTATAAGTATGCTGATTATTATTATTGTTAAAAGACAGTAAAAAAAAAAAAAAAAAAATGTAAAAATTATGTTAGATGTTTTATAAATCGAAAAACTTTTGTGCCATACATTTTTCTCCGTTATGAATATATATTTTTTTTTGAATAACAAAAATCCGATTTTCGGTTTTATATACACCGTATGTTTGTACGATATCCGAAAATGGCTGCTGGGGGTCGCGTCGCCGAGAGACCGGACACGGACCCCGGAACAATCATACACGTTTCCGTTTCGTAAGTTTTCGGGGGCGCGGTGACAGTGATCGAGCGTATAACATACCCGTGTCGAGTGTTTATGCCGCGGCGCTTTATAAATATTATTATATTAAATCGGATTCGAAGGGTTCACGGCGACACGATATTATATTATTATCACGCGTGTGTTGTTTAGTCTGTACGCCGTGTAATACGGACGCGCGGTGTAAATATACAAGTGTGTGTGTGTGTATACATATATATGTATTTATTTTTTTATTTTTTTCTAATAGATTATTACGCGCGTGTTTCAGACGATCTTAAATTTCACGACATTGAATACCGGAGGAGAATCGAGCTGTTGGGCAACGGTGATTTGATATTCAACCGGACCGGGGCCGACCACCGGAGCGCGCTGTCGCGATTCCTGCGCACGCACACCGAGAGACCGCTGCACATCCAACAGCGGAAAAAACGGTCGCGGGCCGCTTTTTCGCATTCCCAGGTCGGTACACGACATTATTGTGACGACTTTGTATCGGTACGGTATTCGAAATTCCGTGAACATAGAAATAATATCGTTATATTTTTTTTTGCTCTTCAATCGCAACGATATTCGTCGGCTTTGGTTTAACGCTGTACACGAAACAACACCGACGATACTACGATGTTTTGACGGAGCCGGTGTGAGATTATCCCGGGGCGGCAAGATCTATCAGGGATTATCTTATCACCCCCTCCCCCCTCAAATCGACTGACCGGGGTAAACGTTGTCTGAGTCCAAATAACACATTTTCCGACTCCCGATAACGTGTTAACGTATCTTTTTATCTTTCGATAATAATTAACGATTAACGAATGATTAATAATAATACATTTTACAAAAACTATTCGCATGTCGATTTTAGATTCTAAGCTAAGCGGATTTGTTTCTGTGTGAACAACTTTTCCACCCAGAAATATTGCACCGAAGTATCAATTAAATTTAGTCGATAAATTATAAAGATATTCGTTCGATTTTCCAAGCGGTTTTCTTAATATTTGGAAAAAACGGGAAAATTTACCAAATGTATTATTTTAAATTTTTGTTTTTTTTTTTTTATTGTTATTCAGTCAAAAATATTCGTAGACTTGAAATTTGGGCAGAAAACTTAAATTTTTTAGCCATTTTTGAGCCATTTATATACATTTTAATTTTTCAAATGTTTTACGTTATGTTTATTCGGTTTATAACCGTAAATATTACTATCCGAAATTTAGCCTTTCAAAACATATTATAACCAAACTCCACTTAGAATCGTTTTTCGTTAACGATGATTAATCATTGCGTTACAGACACACATTAAATTCCCCTCTATAGCCAACGTTTCCAATTTCGCATCTACAACAATGAATTGTCCATTATGCGGTAGTATGCCCGTCTTTTTTTAACTTTGATTTCAAACAAATAATAAATTGTACGGTTCTAATTTAACAGTTCGTTAGAAGAGGGGAACTTATTATTTTCGGCATCTCTTTCAATAATTTTGGCCCTGATGTTAAAAATTGTAAAGTTACTATTACTGATACCGCGAATCAGATGAATACGAAAAATTAGTTATTGTTTATCCACGTAAAATTTTTTGAAAAATCTAGAGCGGAGAGGTACACGGTTTCAAGATAACCAGGCGAAATGTTATAAAACCGTATTTGTTCTCGGTTTGCAGGTGTTCGAGCTGGAACGGCGGTTCAACCAGCAGCGTTACCTGTCGGGTCCCGAGCGGGCCGACCTGGCGCACTCGCTGAAGCTCACCGAGACCCAGGTGAAGATCTGGTTCCAAAACAGGCGGTACAAAACCAAACGCAAACAGTTGCAAACGTCACCGGCGTCCGGAGACCGTTCGTCCGGTGGCGGCGGCGCCGCGGACGGCGGTGCGCCGGCAAAACGGGTGGCCGTCAAAGTGCTGGTCCGGGACGAGTGTTCCAACAACAACAACAACAATAAGACGACCGCCGTCTATCACCAGCCGCCCGCGGGATACGCCGGGCCGGGGACGGTGGCGGCTGCGGCGGCGGCGGCGTCGGTAGTGGCCGGCGGCGATTACCGTCTGTTGCTCCAGCAGCAACACCAACGGCAACAACAAAACCATCATCAGCTCCACCAGCAGCACGCCGTGCACCGCGGTGCCGAACTGACTGCCGCGGGCGGTTACCAGGCATTCGGTAACGGCGCCGGGCTGCATCACTTTCCGCCGTCCATGGCGGCAGCGGCCGTGGCCGCGGCCGCGGCGGCCGCTCCTTACTACTGTTACCAGTACGGACCGGTCATGGCGGCGGCGTACCTGCACGAGCAGCCCGGGAGCCGGGTGTCGTCCACCACCACCACCACCACCACCACCACTTGCACCGACGAACAGGACGACTCGTCCAACGACGGCAGCGAGTGTTCCATAAACGTCATCGACGAGTGTCCCACGTCCACCACGGCCTCCGAATAATCTATCCCGTAGTACAACCTAACCGACCGCGGCCGGTTTCCGGCACGCCGGGCCGCGGAACGTCGACCGATATTATCCCACCGCGCGACCACGCCCTTCTCCGGTGTTCAGCTTTGTCCCCGCGCTTTTCGCTCTCGGAAACGTATAAATCCGGACCGCGCCCCGCCGTTAGGGTGGTTTTACAATATTATTGCGTTATCGTGCGTGTTCTACGAACGTTTCGGCTAAAATTTTCTCCCGACAAAAATACGTCTCCGGAATCTGTTGTTTTTTTTTTCCCTAATGTTTCGCCGTATGGAAATGTCCGCACGTTACATTCGTCCCGGCCGCCTGTTTCGTGATCATCGCGAACCCGCGGGCCGGCTGTCGACCGCGCGGTGATGACGAAATCCCCGAGTGCGTTTTCCGAAAACCGCCACTCGCACGCGACCCCTTGGTTTTCACACGTCAATATTTTTCTACAAACGCATTCGACAAGAGAACGCTGTTCGGGGCAATTATCGCGGTGCGCGTTACGCGTACAATATTTCCACGCCGCGTTCGAACAATCATTGTGCGCGTATAGCAGTGGCCGGTAACGAAACCGTGAGAGATATCACTTTGTGTATTGTTACACGCATCCGATCGAAATCGCAGTCTCATTCGCGACGCTCGCCGGTCCTATGACGTGTGTAATTGTTACGCTTCTGTATTAAATGTTGTGATATATATATAATGTTGTGGAAATATTGTGCGTATACGCGGTTAATTGTCTCGTAAAAAAAAAAAAAAAAAAAAACTAATTAAAAACTGATAAAAATATATCGCATAGATATATTTGTAAATAATTTTTATGTGCATACGTTTCGAATTAGCCCAATCGTTTTCGCAATGTTTAACGGCACGTAAAAAGTACTTATATATACATATATGTTATACATTTATACGTTTTTAATTAACTATCAGTTACCCATTCGAAATTATTTTCAATTATCATTACCTATCTTCCTCTTCGTTCCCGGCGCCTAATACGACCAGTGGCGCACGGGGGGTGTGTAACGTGTGTACATTGAAAAAAAAAAAAAAACAAAACGCGTTTCGATAAAATCTGTGGTGTTATCTAAACGCGGTCCGAGGAGGATGTTCGGACACGCAAAACATCCATTTTGGTTGCGCCACTGAATACTACTTTATAAGAGCTCTCGCCGTTATTACAATGTTCACCCATTGATCTTTAGCGATCCCCGTCCGTTCTCGCACTCCCTGAAATCTATACCGAGGTCTTCTTCGAGGACTGACCTCGAGGTCTTTTTCTATCGGTTCCCGATTCATGCTTCAAACAACACACGAGTCCATTGAATTCCCAATCTACTCGCAAAGTTGCAGATGACCGATGCCATCTCCATCGTCATCCGCCTGCAGGTCTTTGTCCAATGTCCACGTTTCTTTCTCGTTGTCATAACTGTAGTTGGTCCACGCGTATTGTCCTCCGTATTTAGTTTTCAAACATTCTATGTCTTCTCTCGGTGGTACTATGTAGTGGTGGGTAATCCATAATACAATAATATGTTTCGCAGTCATAATGTAAATGTATTATGCATTATTGCCTGTACGTAGGTTTTTATTTTTTATTACTTTCGACTTTAAAGCAGCGCTTGTAGAGCAAAGAATTACGCTCTTTCAGCCTTGGTTATCCTCAATCCTGTCCCTCTCGACTAGTTACTTTTTTTTTTTTTATTATTACTCTCTGCAGTACAACTCCCGGGTCCCGGAATAAAATTGCAAAATCAATTTATAATCGTAATCATTTTGACGTTTTAAATGCTATTAAATCGTATACATTTAGTTGTATACCAGCACCGTTACAATATTATAAATGCATAAATTAAAATGTCTTATTGCGTCCGGTTTGAAAGGGAAAGGATATAATACGTCGTAGTTTTCGATTATTGATCTCAAGTCGTTTTGTTCTATAATATAAATGCACACGTTTTTAATAGGAGTTCGATTTCACAAAAATAAGTCTGACCAAGATAATCGTTTGGCGTATTGAGACGCAGACAAATACGCAATTTATCCACAGATAGAGATAAAACATAATTACTCTAAAACCATCTAAATATACAGCTAAAGATAACAAATACTTAAATGAATTCAATCTAAAATATGCCTAATCGAAATGTATCTTTAGATTTAAAAAAAAAAAAAAATTATTTAATTTAATTTATTTGTGGCTATTGTTAAAGAATATTTACAGCAATAGGGGAAAAAACATTTAAACGGTTAAAATAACTCTATAAATGGGAATGAGGTAAAATAACCCCCCAGCTCTAATAACTTTAAATTTATAACTACAACGTATACATTCACGTGGCTGTAACATTTTTTTTCTCTAAGTATTTTTCAACCAGATAATTACAAAAAAGTTAATTATGTTTTATCTCGGATAAAATTCAGACAGTTGATCTTAAGTTTCCATCTAGATAAGTTACAAAAAAAAAAAAAAAAAATAGAGAAAATATTATCTAGATAATTCTCATGCCTACTGAACTACTCGTTCGGTGTGCATTTTCGATTTATTTAGCGTATAGCACTCTATTGGAAGAAACACAAGAAACTTTGTACCTATAATATACGTTCCTCGAGATTTAATTCCATTTATTAATTTTTATATTATGCAATTTTTAGTTTACAGTATACTATAAGTACCTAAACCTAATTATATTGTGTATTGTTGGAGTATAAAAATACAACGTATTATTGTATAGTAAGTTATTTACTTTGTTAAACAAATAATTATATTATGGTTTTTTTTTTTTTTGTTAATTTAAAAATTAAAAAAACGTTTTATAAAATTGAAAAACAAAAAATTATATTTTGTGTTTATTCATTTTAGATTTATTATAAAATCGATATTGATTCAACGCCGATACCTAAACGATATGTTTTAAATAGGTAATTATAAACAATAATAATATAATAATTAGGAATTTGTTTCAATTGGTGTGGTACGCAAGGGGACGGAGCCTCTCTACTGAGGGGGTTGAGAGATGCGTCTCTTTGAGTACATAACGATGTTTTCAAAAATTAATTATTGCCTTATCGTCAACAGATATAAATTATACATTAGCTCAAAAATAGATCAAATGTTTAAGATAATTTCACCAAGTCTAGAAAAAGCAAATATAAGTTTTCTGTAAAAATGTCAAGTCTTTATGAATATTTTTAACTAAATTACGTTGAAAATACAAAATTATAAATAAATATAAAATAATTACGTACCTACAGGTGATAAACGATAATATTATTTATGCACGGGCGGTAATAAGTTTGTTGTAGCGCGAACAATACGACCGTGATAGAATAATAGAGATGCGCTCGTAGCCGGAAATAGACGCCCCCACTGAATACGCGATAACCGCCTCGGAAGTGAAGAAAGTGTTATTTTTTCTTAAACATTTATAAACGCGTCATTATTATTGTACACAATATCATAGTAATCACACGTACGTAAAATGCCCCGTTACATATCCGTGACAATGATACATTTTGACACGTTTTCCTCTTATCTTGTGTTTCATTTGACGGCAACGACCCAAACGATGATAACTATCGTATTATCAATAATGATAACTGCTTATGCCGATTAATGCGATTACACGCACTCGCATGCACGTGTCCAACGATTTATTTTCCACTGAAACGTACGGTTCTAACATTACGCAACAACCGATTTTCGGTCGGCAAAAATGTTTGGTTTCTACGCAACACAAGGAAGTGATCGTCGGAAGCGCTTTTACGAAAAAAAATTTCGGTTAATTAAATATTTGTACTTGGAAAAAAGCAAATTTTAGAAACTTTAATGAACTTTTATTTCGGAAAAAAATGGCCAATAATCGATAAATTGCTTCCGGCGATCCCGCGAGTTGGTTCTACAATATCCAGAAATATTTTCAAAGTTCTTAACGGGGTGTGCGTCGCGCAGGGCCGTTGGAATTAAAAGCATATGTTTTCAACTAAAAACAAAAGCCGCTGTTGCGAAGCGCCCAACGAAAACAATAATAGTCATTGGCTTTTTTCGCGGAGAATAGATGCAGGCTTTGTTTCAAAGGAGCCGTGTATTGGCGATTTTGTTGTTTTGAACCGTGCAGTCATATCGGTCATATGGAACAGCCGAACAGCTCAAACAAAAATCAAAAACCATTTTAAAACTATTATTGCATTAATGATGAGAAACAGAAAAAACAAAAAAAACAAACCAACATCAATAGAAAGGGAGAAGCTTTTGTCGTTTTTTTTTTATTCGGAAACGGTAGACAGTTTGAACGGGCGGACTCGTTTCCGCCAAAATATTTCCGTTTCCACTGAATTCCCTATTGTATACCTACTGCGTTCAAACGTGTAAATACGAGCTGTGTTAAATTCGAAGAATTTTCGTGCGTCGGCAAACACTTGACCGACAGTCGAAACGCTGACCCGCAACACACAATACGCATGAAATAGCGTCGGGTGTAGGAAAGACCGAACAGTGTAATTAAAACAACCACTCGGGGCGTCTGGGCGCCGAATACGTTGACATTAATATCGGATTGAAGCGTTGAAAAATTAAATAAAATAATTTTTAACTGCGCGATTAATCATCCGGTACATTTACATGTGGTTACTGCGGTGCAGAAGGGTAACCCGATAAATTTGACGTTTATGAAAAATCATTCCATCGATAAAACTAGAAAATGTCAAATGCCTATAAACGACTGAACATAATTGCACGAACGTATTGACAATTGTATCACTTCTGAAAATGTCATCATCAGTATTTTGTACAAATTAAGTGGACAATTCTGTAGTAGGAAAAATAAAATTCTTATTTTGAAATTCGGAATTTCCGGTATAAAAACTAAACAGAAATTAATACAATATTTACTGTCTTAAATTTGACAGTTTTCCTCCTATAGGCAGGTACCTGAATGACTTCCCAATGCACCAACCAAATCCAAAATTCAACAAAAACGGTCACTTATTATTCTCTTTTGGAAGATTGTTGGTAGAAAATAAGCTCAGATACAAAAAAAAAAAAAAAAAAAATCCAGTAATATAAGTTCCTAATTGTTCGGCGGCGAGATTCCAAACTTAAATTTTTCCAGTTTGTAAATTTCCGTCTCTGAGGACTGAGACTGTTAAATCGTTATCAAAATTAAATAAAAAGAAAAAGTGCCACCGTGATACATTAAAAAAAAAAAAAAATAATAATAATAATAATAATAATGATAAAATGTACGCGAGATAAAGATAATGTAGGTACGTGTCGTTATGACTCCTGCATTGATGGGAGTTGTAGAAAAAAAAAAAAGATCGATTCTATATATCGCAGATTGTTTTCAATACCGGGGTGAAAAAAAAAATCAAAATTTTTGGGCGAGGTGGGTATTGGGCGTCAGCACGGGTTTCTAATCGAATTCACAAGTTTTATATATTTAATGTAGAATATTTGTTTTAGTATTAATTATATGTAAACTTATAATTACTATGTGACCAATTACTAGACCGTGTCATACAGAGTTTCCGGGGAAACTGAGCGCAACGACGATTGTTTTGTCGGTGTTCACCATACGGTGAGTTTGGTACTAACGTGCCCGAGCACCTCTGATAGTGAATAATCGTCGAAGCAGTATATATACCCGTCGAATTCACAAAGTGAACACAAGCGAGAATTTCGCATACCGTTTCTGAATTTAGTTCTTACAGTAAACGAGAAAGAATTCACCGGATAGCGCCACTAGCATTTGCGCCGGTCGCGGCTCCGAACTGCACGTCACTAATAACCGGGTACAGTACTATACTCGATATACCGTCCACAAAATAGTATCACGGACTAAACTTGATGTGTTAACAGAACAATTCACGATACATTAATATTTACAATGCCTATCACAAAAAAAAACCACCTTCCTACCTTCTGGAGTACACACTGTACTGTGTATAGGGATATTTAAAATTTTATCATTTCCAGATTTAAGGCGAATTGACACGAGAAAAATTAGAATTAATTAAAAATTATAAATAATTTACATACATAGTTTTTTTTTTTCTATTACATGTATAATTATTATTTTGTATCAGTTGAAAACTACTGAATGATAAACATGTAGGTGATCAAACAAAACAAACAGTAGTTTTAATGACATTCCATCTGTGTATTCATTAGACTATTAGACAGACTAGATAATTATATTACCAGATTCATGTGGTCACTTTAGTATTGACCATACAAATTTGAAATTTCTACCAGACAATATCACCATAAAATATCAATGGTAGTTGGTACAAATAACTTAACATGGTGGTTATTTTACGTACATCACAAAACACAACAGAAATATAGCCAATCTCGTTGGATTTTAATTCCAAATGTGTGTACAACTGGTGTTAACATAATATCATATTGGTATTATCACATAATTAAATCCAATATATTTATATTTATTTATGCAGTTTTAATAACATGAATATCATACATAACTATTTTTTTTCCTTTTATTAACTAAAATTTTTAATTTTATATAAATATAGTAAGTATATTTTTTTTAAATATTAAAAAAAAAAAAATACATTGATAGCAGTGTACAGAAATACTACATTTGAATAATATGAAAATGATAAATACAAATATATAAGATTAAAAAAAAAAAAATATATATATATATAATAATGCATCAGACAAATATTCCCATTCTTAAATCACTTGGGGGTTTCCTTCCGTTTGTTTTCAGTATCTTGAGCTCGACTGGTACGCCACGAGCTTCCACCACCACCACCCTGTTAAATAACGATTAAACAATATTAATTACAAATTAATACATAAATAAGGTATATTAATTACCTGATTATTAGATGAAGGTATTTCACGCTTCCTAGGTGTGTCTCTGTCAAAAGTACTTCGTCCCCCTTCTCTCGGACCATCCTTGAAACCTTTATCAAATACTCCACCAGTTGTGTTGCCACTACCGCGAGTCCAACCACCACGTTCATTGTCTCGTGAACTAAATGCACCTCCTTTACGATCATCATTGCCTCTACTGAATATATTATTGGATCGAGATGGCGGTGGTCCATCATCCCGATTGCGTGCAAAATCTCTTCTCGTATCTTTGTCTCGATTAAACAGTTTAGGTTCTTCTTTAGTCTTGTCCATAGTTCTCCATGAAGATGATGTTGGAGTCGATGCAGAAAGTAACTTGTTGCTCTCTTCCAGTTTTCTTTGCACTTCTTCTTCTTTCTTGCGTTGTATCTCAGCTTGTCGCTCAAGTTGTTCTTGACGAGCTCTGATGACAGCAAAAAAAAAAATGATTTGTAAAAAAACAACAGAACAATTCTTTAAATAACAAAAAATAAATAATAATTGCTTTAACCCTTCATTAGAACATATTTACAAATATACCAGAAATAAGAGAAAACAAAACAGTTTTGTTTTTATTATTCTACAGTAGGCACTACTATGAAATTATTAAAAATTAAATACAACACATTTTTAAGTTTAACTGCGATAAGGATAAGTTTTATTTCTAAGTACTAGGCTAGGAAAAATTTGTATTTTCTACGTTTTAAAACAAGTTCTTTGATAGGGTTTTAATAATTTTTCATAAAACAATTAATTAAAAGTTGATAAACTAATTGTTTTTAAACATATAATTATTAAATAAGGTATAATTTATACAATGGTTTAGTTTTACAAAGATGTTATTTTTTTTTTCTGTGAACATCTTTTCTACCAGAAATCTTTCTCCAGAGTATTAAGTATAGTACCTTATCTGAAAGTGGATTTTATGTAGTTGGTATTTTAGGGAGATCATTTTTTTCTAAGCAGTTTTCATTATAACTAGGAAAAACTGGAAAATGAATGAAATTTATTATTCATTGTGATTAAGTTAAAAATATTAGAAGAGGCTTGACATTTGGACAGACCTTAAATTTTGTGACTTTTTAAGTTATTTTTATATGGTAGGTACTCTGATAATAACATTGTTATTTTTTCAATTATAATACTTTGTGGTCAAAATAAAAAAAATTGAATCTAACGTAATTTTTCTATAGAAATTTGGATATCAAATTTTTACGAAAATCATAAGTTTATGGCCTTTCAAAACATGAATAATCGAACTCTATTAAGGAATGTTTTTCATTAGCAATAATTAATTGTTGTATACACATTAATAAATACATATTTAATGTATAAATTTCCATCTATAACCTTCTCAATTTCTCACCTACAACAGAGGCCCATCCACAGTGTTAAGTATATCTATTTTTTTTAAAAAATCTTATTTAAAATAGCCAACTCTGCTATATTGTGATCATCGGATACTTACAATTTAGCCAAACGTTCTTCTTCATCCAATTTCTTTTGTTCTTCTTCTTTTTTCTTGCGCTCTTCTTCTTCCTTACGTAATCTTTCCTCTTCTTCCTTTTGTTTCTTTTCTTCTAACCGTTGTTTAATCAATGCATTTCTCTTTTCTTCTTTTCTTGTTAACAATCTATTCTTACGAATCACTATTAACTCTTTTTCGAATACTGCCAATTTAGTCTAAACAATCATAATAACTAATAGTAATAACAGAACAATATTATTAAAAGCAAAAGTGACTCATACCTGGTATTCAGCTGTACGGCGTTCTTTCAGTCCAGCTAAGAATATGTCCATATCTGGTTTCATTCTAGCTAATCTTTCTCGATTTTGTTCTGCTAACTTGCGTTCCTGAATAGCTAATTGAATACGTTCAGCTTCTTGATGTTCCCAGAACTTTTTATCATGAACTAATTTTTCCTTCCATGCTTTTTCTAATAATGGGATCTCTTCTATTCTCTTAGCTCTCTCAAAGTAATCCATTTGCTTCCTGCGATTTTTTAATTTGTGTACTAATTCTGCACGTTCCTTGGCTAATTCTTCAGCTTCTTTTGCAGCAATTTCATCAGCGTCCATGTTTTTCAAGGCCTAATACAAAAAAATTTATTAGTAAATCACTAAATTACCAAGTAAAAACATTACATATTTTAATATCATTAGGGTTCTATTTATTTTGCGCATAAATATAATTATTTATATTTAAAATATTATTTATACAATTTCAGATTTTGATGGAAGTAGCACACTATGTACCAAAATTAATGAAAATTATAATAAAATATAATTTACATGAGTCATTGCTAACTAAAAATGTCTATGGGTAAAAAATCTGTCAGATATAAAAACATTAAGAGACTGGATGTTGTATAGTTCCATTATAACTATAAAGAATGTCTAAATATGATATTGACATACAGTATTCATCTTTACTCTCCTTAATAAATCCACAGTTTTGATAGTTTTAAAATTAGAAAACAAAAAGTACTGGCACAAATCAGATGATAAACAATTAAATACTATTATTAATAATTTTTAAAATAAACTAACATCTTCATTAAGTTTTTTCAAAACTTTTTGTCCATGAGCAGTCTGAGAAATTTGTTGCATTTTCTCTTTGAAATTTCTGTCTTTAATCGCTTGTAACTCAGATTCTTGTCGACGTTTTTCTCTTTCTTCACGTTCAGTTTCTAATCGCTTTTGTTCAGCCAAGAATGCAGCTTTAGTAATTTCTTCAGCACGCCGAGCTTCTTCTTCTTCCTAAAAAACAGCAGTATACTAATAAATAACACTACCACATAAATGTTAATTTTTGTAATATAAAGTAGATTAAATATATAATGCAAATTATAAATGAGTACTCACTCTAACAGTGTTCAATCTTTCTAAAAATTCTTTACGATCTTCAATAATTTTGTGACGAGCCAAAATTTTTTGGTGTACTTTGTCTTTAGTTTCATGATGGTACCTCAGAAGAACTTGATGTATTCGTTTACAATCCTCCTATAAATAATAAAAGACAATAAAGATTATAAATCATACAAGTTAAATTGGTAACAAGGTAACAGCAATTTTAGTAACAACTCTAGAAAAAATATTGTACTCAAAATATTGGATTATTAACAAAAATAATTGCAATGGATATACAATAATAATTTTATGTATAAGTTCTATAACCTATTTTTTTTATATGTGCCATTAATAAATGTATTAACATCAGAATAATTAAGAATAATCATTAAATATCATTCCGATATCCGCAAAGATTTATTCATCATTTAATACAAATAAATGTTTATTTTTTTTTGTTATTTCAGAATTACCATATTAAATCATAATTATTTCAGAATTACCATATTAAATCATAATTATTTCAGAATTACCATATTAAATCATAATTATCAAAATAAATGTTTATTTTTTTTTGTTATTTCAGAATTACCATATTAAATCATAATTATCATTTATCATAATTATCAGAATTTAGAATAATCATTAAATATCATTCCGATATCCGCAAAGATTTATTCATCATTTAATAAAAAAAAAATGTTCATCATACATAAATTTTAAATCAATTTTTTTATTTATATAATTATCATCAGAATTTAGAATAATCATTAAATATCATTCCGATATCCGCAAAGATTTATTCATCATTTAATACAAATAAATTTTTAAATTTTTTTATTTCAGAATTACCATATTAAAACATTATTATCAATTTATTATTTATCAATTAATTATTATCAATTTATTTAACATTCTATTTTATGAAACTTTATTAATTTGTTTAATAATAATTTTTATTATCAAAACTATTTTGAATATCATTAAAATATCATTCAGATTAATTTTTCATTTTTTTTTAGAATTACGTATTGCTTTTCAGAAATATTATGTTCGATCATTATAATAATGTGACAGCAACAGCTATAATGATTCACGTTAACCTTGACAAGATATTAGGTTTAAGTTTAAATATGTGGACTTTTATTTATTATTCATAATTTAATTCATATATATATATATAAATATTAGTTTTCTCATTCTTATAACATTAAAAAAAAATGTTTGTTCAGTTTAAAATAGTACACATTACAAATAATTGTTTACCTGTAATATTTTATGGTTAGAACCAATTTCTATGAGTATTTTGAATAACTTAATCTAATTGATTGAAATTTGAATTTACCTTATTGGCTTCTGGATTTATGATACTAGCAGATTTGGACAATACTTTGAATGTATTGATTAGGTATGTACGAATTTGTTCACTAGGCATTGTTTGTAAAGTGGGCCCTTCTGGTTTGTCTTCGCGCTGCGATTCTGACAAATCTGTTCCAAATTGAATGCAACCTTTCCCATGATCAATACGGATCTAAAATTCAGAGTTTATTTATTAATACATTAATCTAACAAAACTTTTTGTATAAATATATAATATATATATATATATTTATTGGATATAAATCTAAATGTTCATATTAAAAAAATATAATGTTAAGGGTACACAATTATTTTCTTTTATTAGAAGTATATAGCTGTAATAATATTAGCTAAAATCTGGTGTTAGTGTGATTTTAAGGGTTTAAATAAAACCTATAATATATTGGCATATAACTTATCAGTGAAATAATACTTCTTTAGTTTGAGCTATTGATATATTATTTAATACTGATAATTACTCACAGGAGGATAATACAACTAAAATTAAAAATTAAAGAGTTCATATAATTACTTCTTGAAAAAATATTAGTTAATTAATTTATATTTTTTTATTTGACTATATATTATTTATTCATAAATTATAGAGTAAATTAATAGAATATTAATTGAATTAATACCTGCATGTCATTATGGCGAACCAAATCAACCAAAACACGTTCCATATGAAAAGGTTGACAGTAAGATGCCAATTCTAAGAGCCGTTTATATTCAATGGTTTCGTAGATTTGAGAAAGTTGTCTTATCAGTCTTGCTAACGTTACTTCGCGCACAGGACCAACATAACTCTCTAAATCACTACCACTTCCAATAAGCGGATCAGTTACAGATTCTACACGTTTGCAGAGTTCCAATGGTTGGAAGTCTACTTCTAACCACAAGTAGAGATTTCGCAAATCATCAGATGCTAAAGGAACAACGTGACGAATCTATAAAATAAATATATTCAACGTCAGATCAATAAACTTTTTATAATTAAATGGTATACCATTACTCACTACTTCTTTCATAAGAGATATTCTTGTAGGCGGTGCAGGAAGACTTAAAAGAATAGCAAGTTTTTGAGCTTTTTCATAGGGACTTTTATCAGTTTCAATGAAACGATCAAATTCAGGATGAGCCGACGGTAATGGTACAGCTAATGTGGCCAACAATACACGCGAGGCCATTCTAGAAAATAGAAACAAATAAATTGAAAGTAACAGGTACAAGGAATACATATTATATATTATATGTGTACACATTGTTTCATAGTACATTTATTTTTATATGTTGGATTTCAAGTGTAGCAAAGAAACTATTATTTTTAGTAAGATGTAGTTTTTCCTCAGAAAACACTTTGTTAATTCGTAAAAACTCTAAGTTAAATTCATTTCATCATTATTAATTTATGGTTTAAAATTTTTCTGTGAAAACACTTTTATCAATAGGAAATTATCAGGACTCTTAATAAAAAAAAGGTCTCAGATTCAATGGTATTATTTTTTTTTATTGCAGATATCATTGGATCAGCTCTATAAATTGTATTAATATAATTTATTAAAACTAAAGTCCTCTGTCATATATATTAATACCATTACTTTATTAATATAAGAAACTTACTTTTGAAGTTCCTCGGGGGTGATATTTTTCTTCATCTCTTTGCTGAGTTGAAAAAGTTTTAAAAGAGCTGCTGCATGGAACAAATTATAACCGGCTTTCCAGAAAACCATAGCTAGTTTTTGATAATAATTGGCCATTGTCTTAGGAACTGGAGACTTCTTGGCCAATGTCATTAAATTATGGATATCTTCTGTTGCTTTGTATGCTTCCTATAATGGACATTAAGTATTTACATTTGATACAAAAATATACATTGGTAGATAAAGATAATTACAAAAGAAATTATTATTTATACAAACCTGCCACAATTCCATCTGAATGGCATAATCTAATTGACACAAACGAGTTTCAAGATTATATTGTTGTGTTTCCGGATTTGAAAGGCTAACGTTCACAGTTTGTGCGGGTAATTTAGCAATATCTTCCAAATGTTTACGCAGTTTATCACATAATTTTCTGAACTCCGTTTTACGGTTGTATTTCAAACAAAATTGATAAGCCTAAGGAAAAAATATGGAATTTATATTTGAATACATTTTTTATTATTAATTATTATTTTATACCATTTTTGCTATGTCATGATATAAAGTTTCCACATGGGCATTGGTCCTTAAGAGCTCCAAACATTGGCAATACGATTCCCACAAAAACTTAACCCATGGTGTCAATATTGTCCTATCACTACGGTCCTGGGCATCTTCTCCACTTACAGCGCTGGGATAATATTAAAAAAATATACATGTTAGTAAAACATAGACAATAAGTACATACAATTGAAAATATTTACCTTAAAAGTAAACTTTCTGGTGTAGCTAAATTGTCCAAATCATCAATATCAACAACAGCTTGTTGCGACTGTTCTCTTGCTGCTTCGGTACGTTCTTCAGCACTCCTCAAGTATCCACGTATAACGTTCTCCAATGAACCGACATTGACCTATACAATGAAAAACCATAAAACACAATATCATTAGGAGTAACTATGTAAATAACAAACAATTATGGGTAAAGAGACTTACGGATTGGAACATATTTCGGTATTGGAACAATCCTTCTTTGGCAATATGCGACTTCTTGAGGTCGACACACAGTTCCAGATACTTGAACATGATCGGTTCGAGTACGCTCTCGCTCCAGTTGTACGCCCATTTTTTGTTCCTGAACACCTCGTAAAGAGTGTCCAGGGCACGGCCGGGACGGCCGACTTCCAAAAATTCTGCGGACAAAAAACGAACATTTTAGACTATAGTAAGTTATCCAAGTACCTAAACAAAATACATTACAGTGAAATGATTGTACCGGATCACTTACCATTGGCGCGCTTTAAAGCGTTCTCGGGTCTCTGGCTGTATCTAGACATGATTTCGTGTGAAGCACGTCGAATATCTCACGAACACGGGTTTTCAATTGAAAATCGCCGTAATGGTCGAGAGGAAAAAAACGTGGCGTGATCGACGACCGACGTTTCGCATAACAAGTCGAACGGCATTAGATAGTCGTGATCAGTGGTTACCAAGCTGACCGCCCGTTGTTCGACTGTACACTGTCGTGTTCTGCATTCCAGTGCACAGTGTTGCCAATGCCGCCGGACGATGACCTGCGATTTTTGGCGGGACATTTACTAAGGCGGGAAAATTCGTCGAATGAATATTTTATATTTGTTTTGAAGTACGGTAAACTGGTACCCGTATTTCATAAAATTTACTCAAAACCTTCTCCAATAATTGTTATTTTAGTTGTAATAAAATTATTAATCACGTTTTAAAATTGTGTATATCACCAGAAACCACAAAAAGGGTTTTAAGTAGTGGGTGCAATTACAATAGTTATACATTTACATAGGTACGTATAATATGCATGTTATCATACTTAATATACCTACTGTTCAGTAGTACAATAATAAAGTTAACAATAACATAATAATAATTTATGTTGTGTATAATGACAATAAAACAAAGTTAGGTAAATCAAAACTTAATTATTTATAATCTGTGTAGGTTAGGTATAGTATCCCGACATTAACCTGAAACCTCTCCTTTCTTCTCCATGAAAATTAATTATTCATAGTATGTTTTATATTCTGAGTGGAGCGAGGAATATATTGGTTTTACAATGATGTTTATTATTATTTTTTTTTTTTGTGAACAACTCTACCAGAAATCTTACTTCGTTTTACAAACTCAGCACTTTTCCTGAAAGAAAATCTGACTGGAGTATTATAAAGATTATTTTTTGATTTTCACTGCAGTTTTCCCAATAAATAGGAAAAACCGGAAAAAAAGTGGAAAAACGGGAAAATATGAACAATGTTACATTCGGAACAAAAATACATTCGGACAGTGGCGTACACAGGATTTTTCAATGAGGGTGGCTTGCACATTTATAATAAAACAGTTGTTTTGTCACAAGTTTGAAAAATATAGTAGGTTAGTAGGTGCATTCTTAGTTCTGATTAATAATAAACATAAAATATAATAATTATCTATACAATTGTTTTTCACTATATTATTATTATATACAATATCCGTGGGCTAACTTAACGATGGGTTAATTTTTGCCTATTGGTAACATCAGTTCAGTAAGTTCAATATTGCAATCATAGATATTATCTGAGAATGTGTGGCAGTCCGCGTATGCTCGATAACCAAAAACTAAGATATACCTTATTTCATGACGATAACACAAACCGGCAAAGTTGTAATAATAACAAAACCATTGTTTATAACGAGTGTCACAACAGTTAGATAAAAATAATAATCTTATAAACCTAATATCTTATTCTGTGATAATATAGTAACATGATATTGGTAGTTAAATTAAATTATTTACTTATAAAAAATAGTGTATTTTATGAAAAAAAGTACTTATTTATTAATTATTGTTATATTTGACACTTGAAAAAAAAAATATGTTTAAATACGTTAATGAGGGGGGGAGTTTCAGACCCTTACCACCCTTCCTGCGTACGTCACTACATTCAGAGCTTTGTTACAGTGGCAAAATACAATTAATACTAAGACGGAGTATATGTTCGTAGCAATAGTGTTTCCTCATATCACTTTATAAGATACATAATCGCCATCTAGCGTTAAATTTATGGCTATTGGTTATCTTGATTTGCACATCTTTACTCCTTCATTTTCTCTGGTATAGGCAATTTAGTTTACACGATACCATGACGCTCATTTTTTATCATAACTAAAGACCGGATTTAATTTCATTTAAAACACAAAAAAATTACATGTTAAAATTATATAATTGCACCAAAATATACGTAAAAATTGTATAATAAATTACATTATGAAAATGCAAAAGTTATAAAAAAAAAAAATAAATAAATGTTACTTCTTTAATTAAAATTCATAATTAGATACATTTCTAAATTTTTTTCATTAAAATGAAATCTTCTATTATTTAAAATATGTTTGTACAAAGAAAAACCACGTTCTACGTCTACATTAGTTATTGGTGCATATTTAAAACAATTTAATAAAGTAGGCGTTATATCTAAATTAACATTCGCGTCACCTAACATGACTTCATAGTAAGACTATAAAGTTTTATAGCTTTCATTTTTTTCAATTACATACATACATTTTTCTTTAAATTTTTTCCCACTTGGACCTGGAATATTTGTTAAAATATCTTCAATTTTTCTAAAAATATCGACCTTTTTCAGTTGTTCACTATTAGATTTTTCCAAATTTTTAAGCTTCATGTAAAACTCAGATAAATGTAATTTTATGAATGCTAAATCTCATTTGACTGCCTTATTTTGTACAAGCTGCTTCAGCTTTTCGACACTTGTAGCATCACCTGTTAAACTTTCAATCACGTTTTTAAACTTTTAAAAATTATTTGCATAGAAAAGTGTAGCATTTAACCATGTTCCCCATTTTGTAATAATACGTTCGGGTGGTAAATGTATTACTGGTATTTCTTTTCTATATTTATTTATACTTGATGATACCACTATTTTTATATAGACAGTCACTGAGCTCTCCAAGCTTTTAGAAAATTCTAGACGAACGATAAACGCCTATGATTTAAAAACATGGACAAATTACAATAACGTCAAAAATTAAAAAAAAAATTGCATTATAAAATTAAATAGGCAGAATAATTTTAGTATATACCGGAGTCGATTTTTGTTTTACAAAGGTAAAGCTATTTTAAATAATGTTTTGTCTGAATAATTTTAATTTCAAAAATATTAAATAAATAGAACTCACGTATGACTATTCATACAAGAAACTAGAATACACATGAATTATTTTTCTATGAAATTTATAATTATTCAATATTCATTAAGTATACTTTATTGATTATAACTTATAAGTAATGTTCATATTATATAGTGGTCGAAAGGGCTAAAAATAATTGAAGAAGGATGTTCTGATTCTCATATTCTATAATTTCCAGTAATTATATAATTATATATTGCTGTACACAATTTTGTACAACTCGTCAAAACCCCAAAAAGTCGTTTTCAATGTACAGGATGCTGGTAATGTAATGGTGACAATATCCTGGCACGTGTGGTCGAAATCCATGCCACGACCGGATGTGTGCTTTTTTACACGATTACTGTATATTATATACAACCGCAAGTGAATAATTTCTGTTCGTTATAATATGAATGGCGAATAACCGCTACATTCGGATTTTTCCGGAACAAATCGGTTTGTCGGTGGACAACGGGAAAGTAGTGCATGACCGGCATTTCCGGTTTTCGTAAAAAATTCTATAACATATTTATACCTATAAGGCTATAAATGTATTTTAGATTCTGAGCGGAACGAGGAATGTATAGGTTTTACGATGGTGTTGACTTTTTTGTGAACAACTTTTCTACTAGAAACTTCGCTCGGATTTTCGAATGTAGCACTTTTTGTAAAAGAAAATTTTCTTAAGGTCATTTTTTCATTTTCCCATGGGTTTTCATAATAAATTATATAAACCGGGAAAATACGTAGGAAAAAAAACGTAAGAAAAAGGGGAATATTTACAAATATTAACCTTAAGAGTATAAAATATTATAGAAACTATTATTATAATAGATAGACGCATATATATATAGCATTATTATAGATTATGCGAAACCGTAACCAAAGAAATTCGCATCGGGTTTTGAGAGGTGATATTTTTCCCGCAATGTATTTTCGGCTATCCAGCGATAATAAAATATTTGTTATGGAGCCGTTTTTAACGATAGCAGTTGATTTTAAAAAAAAATAAATAAAAATAGAGGTCAGCTGCTTCCGGTTTTTAATCAATAATTAACAGTTTTGATTCAGGTATTTGAGAAACGGGTGATTTGATATCGATTCATACTAACCAGATTTTAATGTGTAGCACTTTATCTGAAAGGAAATTAAATTTAGTTATTATATTTGTTATCAGTCTTGTAAAGTACTCAGGTAAAAGTGTTTGAGTGAAAGTATTCAGATACTTTTTAAATGCTCAAATACATATTTTAAATACACTTGAAAAAAGTGCTTAGGCACAGTGTTTGAATACTTTTTTGAATATATCTATATTTAAAATTAAATACTAATTTTAAATACCTATTTCGTCTTATTTGATGTACAAGAACGTAAATTTAAATAAAACAATTCAAATTTTACAACAATTTTCTTTTCATTTATAGATCGTTGCGTTTTGCGTATATATTATTATAATATTATTGAAAATACACTTTACTTGAATCATATTTTTATACAAAAAGCAATCCGAGTGTTTGAAAATAACTATAAATACTTTTTAAAATAAGTATCTGTATCTGTACTTGAATACTTTTTAAAAGTATCTTTTACAAGACTATTATATAATATACATATATATATATATATATATATATATATATATGTATATTTTATATTTGTTATAGTTATAGTTGTTGTATTTGTTTGATTATCTAAGAGGTTTTCATTATAACTAGGAAAAATCAAGAAAAACATAGGAAAAACGAAAAAATGTACTAAATATATTATTTGCAATTTTGTTTTTTTGTTTTAATTTAGTTAAAAATATTCCCAGGGACTTTAAATTTAGATAAAACACTTATATTTGCTTTTTCATAACGTGATCAAATTTTCAAAATATTTAAGCCGTTTTTGAGTTATTTATATAAATTTTAATATTGCGGTTTTTACGTTATTTTTATTTGGTAAGTATTCTGCGAATAAAATTGTTTGACCAAACATAAATGCTTGACAATTTATCAGGAGGTTCAGTGTAAGCCGCACTTTGTGGTAAAACAAAATTAAGTTTAATGTAGAATTCTAGTATTAAATTTTGAAGAAAATCGTAAATATTACGGCTTATTAAAATCCATACAACCGAACTCCGTTTAAAATCGTTTTTTGTTAGTAATATTTAATCGTTACGTGTAGATTTACATTAAATTTCCCTCAGGGGCAGTGATTTTGAAAATGTTTATAAGACACACATTTATGATAAAAATCAAGCTGAGAGTATAGTAAAGCTAATAGTATCGCCTCTTCATCTGGATCTACCATTGAAGATCGTATCTTTTTTCAGTATTGCCTACGAAACAGGTTTACAAAAGCATTAACACACATCCAACAAGATTGATCGAAAAAGTTAAATACTACTGTTTTCATTGCTGTAGGTGGTATGAATGGTATGATAAGAGATCGAAAGTTGGAAAAGTGAGAAATGGCGTTTATCGTTATGGTAGGGTCAAACAGTGGAAACAAAGTGAACTGTTCAATAACCGAGTAAGTGGTATACACCTACCCGAAATGAATAAGTATTTAATGTGACGAGTTTTTTGGTGAACACTATATTTTCGTTAACTGATAATAATTATTATTAACTCGATATTTCCGGCGACCAGTATAATGTTTTAACAGTGCCTAAATGAGATATAAAATATACATAATTTATTGTTATAAATTAATACTGTGCTGTATTTTATTTTTCAAGCGTAACACGTTCCCGCTAAAAGTTTGCCTTTTCTTTTTCTATCATTGATCATTGTCTGTTTCTACCAAAAGTATCTATTTTCATCAATACTTTATTTATAATATGTATAAAATTTAGAGTTTGACTAGTCTGAGCAAAGCGATTTTACAAATTTACAAATACGTATTACTGTTTAGCTGATAATATGAACTTCAGTTGATCAAGGATAAATTGGGATTTTAATTAATAATAATTGTATTACCCGATATTTACCGGGCTTAACCCATTCAAAAACATAATTCAATAAAAGAAATTGAAATTTAACATATCACCATGTTTTTACTCGTATCCCTATTCATAAAGTTTATTTTTATAATATGTCTCTGTTACAGTTAACCGTTTACCTTTGCCTGGTAGTTTATCTTTTAAAAGGAAGTTTCTTGTCTGTAGCAGCTAAATTAAATAATAATAATTCTTTTTCATCTGTTTCATTAAGGTAACCCATAAATAAAAAATAATTTAATTTTCGTTGAATTTCTAAATTAAGAGTAGCCCTCGGTGATTTGACTCTTGTTTTGAATGTCAAGTGTGCTAAGTTTCAACAAGATCGGTATAAAACTATAGATTTGTAAATCGGATAGACACACATACAGACACTTTTATAAATTTACACGATTTTAGATCCTGAGTGAAGCGAGGAGTGTATTGGTTTTGCTATGGGATTGTTTTTGTTGCATCGGTAAACACGTTTCCTACCTGCATACATTTTGCTCCAATCAAACACGTTATACAATAATTTATTATTTTATAAATTTTGATGAAGTTGATGTATCGAGGAGGTCGTTTTTTGGTTGAATCGAAACATTAACAATTTTCAGTATAATTTGTGCGGATTTCTGTGTTACATCGACAACAAGTAAAAAAAAAATTGATACTGCTTATGGGCGTACGGCCGCAGTGTTCTATGTGGGTTCTTTAGTTTATAATATCTGTACGCAATGATAAACCATTGTTTACCAGTAACCAAGGACGGCATTTCAGTTTTTTAATAGGAATATAAACAATTTTTTCTTCCATTTAAAAATCTTGTTTATTTTGTAGAAATGAAAAAAAAAATGTCGATTGCTTAACTCACTCGTATTTCTATTTTACATTTTAATATTCAAATACAATATAGTGAATAGAGAAATATTTCTGTTAAAATAAATTAAGAAACTAAATTTTAATATGCTACATTTATTCATTGTAAATTTGTTAACATTATAAATCACATTGATACTACGATAGTTATATCCTTAAAGCTATAATAGTAACAATAATTAACCGCGGTAATAATCGTCCATGTGACACTATCAAATTTCAAATAGCCAAATCCTGGAAGTGATGGGTATTGGCAGTGATTGTATTTTCCATTTTATCAATTATATATCATCTTTTTCGGGCCAAAACACATTAACAAAAAGTAGAGCTACAAAATTATAGTCTTAATCTCAAATGACGCCTCTGTTATTAACGTAAATCAATTATAAGCGAAATTAAGTTAAATGCACATATTTTAAAATATACTGCGATTTAAATTTGTCAAAATTTAATCTAAAAGCTTTTAAAAAGTACTTAGTACTTTACATTTAATTATAAATAATGAAGCCGTTATTATTGCCATACAATTTCCCTTTTTTCTAATGTTTTTCTCCAGTTTTTCTTAATTAAAATGAAAAATACAATAAATATTTAAAAAAAGATCTGATACTGAGACGGGTGTGGCCACTATTGTAGGTGGGTATAGTTAGGAAGGTGCGATGCATAAAGTCATTTAATTTATACCTGTAACCAATGATAAACTATTGCTAACGAAAAAACGATTCAGAACGAAGTTCCGTTACATGTTTTAAAAGGCGTAATATTTAAAATTTTCGTCGAAATTAGAATTTAAAAATCTTAAACAAAAAAAAAAAATGTATTGCCGTTTTTATCCGTTTTTCTCAATAATTGGGAAAAAATGATAGAGAGTTTTTTTTTTTTGTTGGAGCAAGCGATGTCTGATAGAAAAATTGTTTACAGAAAGAACAAATCATCAGGATCAATATACTCTTAACTGTGCTCACAATCGTTTTTCGTTATAAATCTGCGTACAGATATAAATTAAATTACTTTACATGCATTTACTTCAATATGTTCACTTAAAACAACCGCACACCAATTATAGCAGTATATCAGACTTTAAAAATAATAATAATAATAATAATAAAATTTAGCTGTATAGTGGACTTCAAAACGCTTTAACGGGTAAATAAAAAATAAAGCTAATTAATAATTAAAATTTATATTTATTAATAATATTTGAACACGCCGATATTTTTTATATGATTATCCGGGATTTTCAACAGTTTTATTATGTACACACATTTATACTTTTATAAAATATAACCGTATCATTGTTTACAAAATATGAAAGAAAATATTATGATATCACACTAAACTATTCATTTAATAGCATGCTATTATGATTATAATCAATGCTTTATTGATAATAGACACTACTGTAAATCAAATGCGTAATTGAAGACCAAACATAATTAATTATTCGTTCTTTTATTTGTTTTTCTTGTAATATAATAAGATTGCCAACAGTGTTTATTATTAATTATACAACGATTAGCGATCGATTCATTTATTTTATTTCATTTGAGATATATTTTTTTAAATACCTCAAACAAAAGTAAGTATTACGTCTACAATGACGGTATACACATATTGCTACAATGTTTACTGCATGGTTTCTTATTACGAGTACCTATAACTACCTATATTATATCAGTGATGAAACTCGGGCTACGTCTTTGAGGAGAGAATAGCGAACGATTTTTGAAAATTGTTTATAAGTGGCTCTATAAATTTATTAGATTTAAGTTTCTTATTAAACTTAGGTTTAAACCCCTAACGCCTACCCCCGGCTAGCGTCACTGTCCAACCTATATTTAAAAGTGGAATATTTCGTCAATAGATTAAAGGAAATCAAAGGGTTACTAATTGAAAATCAAAAATAGGTAGTGGTTTTACTTCTAAAATGACATAAATGTAAAATTGTATAGAGTTGCTTGTTTCTTAATTTTTGTATAAAACATGTTTCAAAAATGTTAATACTTTCCGAGATAGTTAGTGTATCCATTTAAATGGAACACTTTGTATTATATATAGTTTTGAAATTGATGCACATTATGAGTTAATTAGGTAAAAACCGAGTTAGGTGCCCGAACGACTCGACATCGATTTTTTATACGTACATCAAATTCGTTTTTAGAATATAATACGGTTCTGAAAAGTTAGCACAAAGATTGATTAAAAAAAACAAAACAAAATAATAAATATTTTAAGATGATATTTCGTCTGTAACATAAAATGTGAAAGCCCCTCTACGGCATGTACAACACATTATGCACTTTCATATACAGAGTGTCCTACGAAGACATACGTACTGCAATATTTCCCGAGATAATAAAGATAATCAAAATTGTATTAATTTTTTTTTTTTATTACTCGCAGGGATAAGGACTACAAATATTTTTATTTTAGTTAAATAAACAAATTTAAGTTTATTTTTCTGAACATTTTGATATTTCAAATTTTATTTGTAATTTATAATAAAGTTTTAAAGTTCAGAGAAAAGTAACAATAAATACAGCAGAGGCTGTAATCTCATTCAGTGATTGGTCATTATTGTTATGGCTAATTGACTGTAAACTTTAAAAGTTATTAAAAATCATGAGTTTAATAAAAGTATAAAGTTGATTTTTGAAGGAAATTAATTTTTTTCAGCTTTTTACCATAACATAAAAATATTTGATACATACTTATTTGTAGTTCTTATCCCTGTGAGTAATATATACATAAAAAAAAAAAACACAATTTGATTATCATTATTATCCCTAAAGATATTTAATGAGTCTATCTTTGTGGGGCACTCTGTATAAATCCAATGATGCCCAGCAAATATGCAATGTTTCTTATTATAATTTTTGAAGCCCAAACATACCACGAGTTACGATCACTATTTATATTTTCGGTATTTTCAACGTGTGTATACAAAATTACCCGAATGTTCTTTTTCTGAATTACAGTGATTATACAGAGTGATTCATTTATTATAATCAATATCGATTTTCTCTGAATATTTTAAGTGAATTTATCTTCGATTTTTTCAATCATTATGAAATCATTTAAGATTTGTTTCAACACTACTTTTAATATTTTACTCCTACTTCTTATATTTCAATTGAGTATACACTTAGAATCTTCAAATAGCAAATAGGAGTAGAAAGTATTACACATTTATCATCTTAAATCTTAATATATATCCATATATAGGGTTTATTTTCACTTCCTTACGCCTCTGGTCTAAACTTATAACTATTATAGTTTTATGCATATCATTATTTGTAAAAAAATATTTTTTATTCGGATATATATTTTAGAGGTTAATTGTTGAAATTAGTGCGTTACAATAAAACATAATTCCATACAATGCATTTTTTTTTTTTTTTTTGAAAAAGAAGTTATGTGTAGTTTATTTCTATTCGATTCACTTAAAATCTTCAAACTTCCAAGAAAATCGATGGTTATCATGAATCATAAATCACTCTGTATTATTAAAAAAAAAAATTGCACATTTTTACGGATGCGATGCGTACGATAGCCGAAGATTATTGAATATCACGATATAATTTTATATTGAATTTGTAGATTATTTATTTTCGGTTTGAGGCCAACTTGCCAAAGTCGTAAACCGAACTGAAACAAACAAATCTAATCGTACATAATGTAACCGACCAAGAAGCGAGTTTATTTCAAGACATTTCTATAAACAAATCATTCCGCGAAATAATACATTTTCCACACCTTATGTATTAAAAATTTATATTCCTTAGACGATCTGTATCATAATAATGTACGGTTTGTTTCGATATAATATAAACATATAGAATAAAAATAAAATATTTCACAGCAGTATTTATAAGTATATCGACTAGGACATTTTATATAAACCGATATAAAATAATAATTAAGTCGATCACAAGCATAATATAATATAGATAAAGTTATAAAAAAATGTAAAATATTAGGTAATTGAAACAATTATAATTTTTTTTTTTTTTTGAGTTATAAACCGAATTTTATTATTGTAAAGTTCGTTCGTAATAAAAAGTATAGTAACTATAATTTATATATCAGGTGATTTATTTGAGTGGGTACACTCATAATCTCGAAAAATATTAATTTTTTCCGGAATTTGTTTTCTAGAAAATTTAAGAAACAAGCTACTTAACAATTTTATATTTGTGTTAATTTTTGTCACCCTTATTTTTGAGGGTGAAATCACTACCTACTTTTGATTTTCAAATGGAAACATGTATTAAAAAGTCCATAAATAGATTGAGTATTAATTAAAAGAAATTTTAGTGTTCAAATTTTTTAAGTTTGGGTTGAAGGAGAGTAGTGGAGTATTATCAGTGTGTCGGTACGGCACATGCCATTTTAGAAATGCACCACTACTCTCTTCTAACCTAAAATTAAAAGTGGTATATCTCATCAACGGCTTGACAGAAATCAAAAATGTCAACACTAAAATTAATTTTAACTAATAATCAATCTATTTGGCATCTAGAATGCCATTTGAAAATCAAAAGTAGGTGGTTGTTTTACCCTCTAAAAATAAGTGTGACAAAAAATAACATAAGTATAAAATTGTAGACCAGCTTGTTTCTTAAGTGTTCTAGAGTTAATACTTTCTGAGTGTACTTTCACTTAAATGAATCACCTGGTACCTTCTATATGTACCTAACGTAATGTAAAAAATATTATGCTAGGTACTATAATATAATAATAATAATAATAATAATAATAATAATAATAATAATAATAATAATAATAATAATAATAGTAATAATAATTAATAATAATAATAATAATAATAATAATAATAATAATACAAATCGGTTATACGTTAATTACGTTATCCATTTTTTTGCTTTCATTTTCCAGTGACTTTTGAGCCGCCAAGTATAAATTGTGATTACTCTTTTCGTTGTTGGTCTTGAGTTTCTCTTGCATCTGGACGAGAACGTCTTGCATACGGCGAATCTGAATTGAAATACAAATTCCTAGTTAATATACACAATAATATATATAATAATAATTTATTATTAGACTGGAAATAATCCTGGAATATTTTGAATTTATAGTATCTTAAATTGTAGAAAAAAAAAGTACATTTCGGAACAACAGAGTTACTTTAATAGAGTCAAATTTTCCTTATTTTGATGACAAGATTACTGTCTAAGAGTTATTGCCGCCATTTCTCCAATTCAAAAATTGCCTCTATCTCGAACAATCTCTTTCCAGATTTCAGTTATCAGACTTTCAAATACTTTTCTATACCACGTCAATAGAGACGTATTTAGTCATCCTTGAGGGGGAAGGCAAATCGACAACCCAGTATCGTTTATCTACTACATGGTTGAAGTTAATCATGATTGATGATGTTTTGGCAGGCCCGTGCGTAAGAAAAAGGAGGGGTTTAGGGATCTAAACCCTTAATTGTCTTCTTTCTTTTGCATTTTTAGAGTTATTAGTTTTGAAAAAAATTAAAAGTGAGTTTACTTCAAAGGATTATTGAAGAACATTATTATAAAAGTGATTAAAAAGTTAAAATTTGTGTACTTGACTTATGGTCAATTATATTTTATAAGAACAATAATTGATATCATAATAATTTTTGTATATACTCAATAATGTATTGTATAATACATCATAAAGAAACACCACTATAATAGTGTTATCAATACCTTTTAATATATATGAAAAATGCATGTAAATATAATATTATTTACTAAAAATTTGATAATTTTTTTAATACATTTTTTTTACTTTCTCCCCCCCATGAATAATCCTTCACACGGGCTTGTTTTCGATATTTGATGAGTCATCAAACATCAAAATATAGTCATCAATGACGATTGAACTCGACAGTGTTTGTTATTGATATAATATTATATTGTTCTGTATTTTATCTTATCATGCTTATCAGTACGTCCGTATTATGCACGTTTTTGTTGTAATTCAGTCAAAATAGACACACATTTTAACAGAAAACTTATATTTGTCTTTTCTAAACGTGGTAAAATGTTCAAAACATTTAAGCCATTTTTGAGCTATGACATTTTAATTTAGCGAATTTTTCACGTAATATTTATTCAGTATAGGTATTAGGTACTCTATGGATACAATTGTTAGACCAAACAGAAATGCTTGCAAATTTAACAGGAGGTTCATGATTGTCCTTAGTAGTTAAAAAAAAAATTGAGTTTAATGTAGTGTTTTTTTTTCTATAAGAATTGTAACATCAAATTTTGACGAAAATCGTAAATATTATGACATTGAAAGCATGTGTAACCGAACTCTACTTAGAATCGTTTTTCGTTAGCAATGGTTAGTCATTGTGTACAAAAATATATTAAATTCCCTTCTATATCCTACTTTCTTAACTTTATTCTTTTTTATGATAGACTACCCCTACTCGCAATAATAGTATTAAAAATACAGCTTAACTTTACTGTGATTAGAATTTAAACCGGACTTGATTAAATTTGGTAAAGTTTATAAAAATAATATTATTTTTGGCAGATGCTCAAAAGTAGCTGAATAAACCAAAGAATGTACCATTTAAAATAATTTTAGAATTTTTGGGCTTTATATCTAAAATTTCACCAAAAATGAAACATTCTGAACATTATTATTAACATATTATTATATTTCGTCTTATAAAAACATTAATATTAATATTATTTAAAAAAAAAAAAAATCAAACTTACTTCTTCTTCTTTTTGAATCAATAAAATATCCGTTTCGTCCAGTGCCGGCGGCAGTTTCGGTATGGAGTCTCTTTTCAGTTTACTATACAAAATCATGAAAAATCAGTCATATTTCAAAAAAAAAAAACATCTTAATAATAAGTATAAATAAATAGGTCACTTTTTTGAATCTAATTTATTTTTATTTACCCTCTATCTTTAAACGCTTGTTGTGATATTTTTGAAATCAATTGTGTGCGGAAATTTTCGTAGTGAACATCCTCGGTGACTTCTTTCAGATCGTGCATGTGCGTGGATATCAGCATATTTCGAAGTTTAGTGAAATCGCTGTGGGCTGGGTTGTCCACTAAAAATATGATGAAAAACACTTGTCGTTAAATATTTACTTTTGCCATACAGGATGTCCTACAGTGTTATCCTTATACGAATAATTCTGTCGTTATTCATGTTTTTTTCAGTCGAATTTTGTGCGAGGTAGACACATTTTTATTTTTCCAAGTTTTAAAATAGCCATTAGAATATATTTTAAAAACTGTAATGTAACATACATTGATATTCGATCAAGTTTCTCAGTAATAGCCACGAAAACAATTAATTTTATATAGATACACCATAAGAAATCACTATCAGCACGGTAATTCCTTATTTTTTATTGAATTAAAATTGTTTCTACGCCTATTTTCTATACATTCAAGCCATTATAACTAAGAAACTATTAATCGGATATGAATGTATAACACATTATAATTTTTAGAGTAATATATTTTAAAAAATGGCACTTTGAAAATTTTAAAAAGTGAAAAAGTAAAAAGTATATTTTTTCAGTAATTAAGGGATGAAAATTGATTTTTCTCTGCATGTATGCCCCTTGTTCAAAACCCGATTGAAAAAAACAAATGATTATGAACAGCGTTATTAGCATAAGGTTAACATTGTAGGCTGTAGGATACCCTGTATATTGCAGTCCTATTTATCTACCTATAGGTACAATATGTATTTAATATATTCTAAAAATGAAATGTATACACAATAATATGTAGTTTGTTTGTTATTTAAATTATATTGAATAGGTGTAATAATATAGTATACCCTCTACTAATCCCCAGTCGTATTGCCTCCCTCGCATTTTCTTTCCGTTGACTTCCAAAATCGTGTTACTTCCGACCACGGCAAAGGGCAGACACGATTTTAACTCTTTGTCCTGTTGTTTGAAATCTTCGTCCTCGTCACTGTCGCAATCGGGCAGTTGATAAACCTTGAACATTAAATAATATTATCGAGTAATTATAGACAATAGTTACCTATAGATACCTTTTTTAATAAGCGAACATACAAATCTATTACATGGATGCTATGCCTACATACTAATCGTGATGGGTATTAAGATTTTGATTTTAAGTCGATATATGGTAAACTTGATTTAAACATTTTTTTTTCCAATTCAATTAATCATATATAAAATCACATGTCTTGACTGACTGACTGATTCATCATCGCCTAGTCCAAACTACTGGACAGAACAGGCTTAAATTCGGCATACAGATAGCTATTATGACGTAAACATCCGTTAAGAAAGGATTTTTGAAAATTCAACTCTTGAGGGGGTAAAATATGGGTTTTTAATTGTTTTTGGTACATAAATATCTAACTTTTAATTTACTTATTTTTGTTTATTCACAGATTACCTGGGTGACATGGATGACAATTTAGTTGTTACGGCCATTACTGGCAAGAAAACTATTATTATTATTACTATTAGGTATTTAAAATATTATTTAGGAATAGTATAGCATTTCCGAATCAGTTAGTTTTATATATACTTTATTTTGCCCACCTTTATTTCGTGTTCCTTGATGGAATCTTTTATCCGTTGTTTGACCCGTGCTTTTTCCTTTTCGGTCAACATGTCCGCTTTGCTTATGATCGGTATAACATTCACTTTCTCATGAATACTCAACATGAATTCCACGTCCACAGGTCTCAAGCTATAAACGCGTATATGTGACATTTATTTATGCATAAATACCTACTTAATTATATTACAGAATCTATTATTGAACCGAATTTACCACAAAAATATACCTGTGGCAGTGTCCTGGTATGAAGTATAGACAGCAGTGTACACGGTTATCGACTATGTTTTTCCTGATAACGCCACTTTCCTCGGCGAAATACGCGCGGAATTGTTCGTCCACGTATTCGCAGCACGACCGTATACAATCTTCACTTCTCATAGACGAACCAAAACCTGTGTTTAATATAATGGTAAAAATAATAATACTATAATATAAGTTTGCGGGTGTTTACAAAATGAAAATAAAACGAAGCCGGCAGGCAGTGCAGTAACTATGTAGAGTAAGATTAGTTCAGGCCTGCAAAAGCGCGTTTTAAAAATAAACGTAAATAAACTACAATTTGCACATCATATAGAAATGCGAAATTCGAATGGGAATGAATTAAATTATTAGACTGTATAATAGCCTATCTTTATCAAATATATTTTATTTGCATAGCTTAACTAGGCTATAAGAATAGACATTTGTGTGCAGCCTGAGGCTCTGGAATCCTCTTGTACAGCTCTGCCGACAGGTTTATAAAAACTTGATACCTACCGGGAGTGTCTACGACTGTTAATCTCAACTTGACGCCTTGTTCTTCGATGCACAATGTTTTTTTTTCCACCTTGGCGGTCTGAGGAGGTTCTACAATTAAAATGATTAAACATAGTACGCAAATACATAGGGTACCTAATTGTTATAGCGAGCTGGTTAATTTATGATATTATTATTAAGGGTATACGAAAGGTTACATGTTCAAGTTTTAAAATATTGTACTAGAAAGACAAAAAAATCCCTTTAACACTCAAAGTTTTTTAAAATTTTTGTAGAAACGTCTAGACGACATTTGACACTGTAATATTAGTAATTAACATGACAATATTATATATTTTTAAATTTTCATTGATAATGATTGTTTTTGTCTTTTATTTTTGAACGATTTTAAAATTCGAACTTGTGTTTTAGCGATTCATATATTATACCATAACTGGATTCTTTTCGGTCTTTGTACAAGTCGCTTAGAAATAACGTATTGATCAGCGTGGATTTCCCGAGTCCGGACTCTCCGACCACCATCAAAGTGAACTCGAATCCTTTTTTCACGGTTTTCCGATGAACTATATCTGGTAAACTACCGAATCCTATGTACTCTGTATGAGATAAAACAGAAAAACAAATTACGAATTTAGGATTTTTTTTACATATTTTGTTACCTATAATCCGTATGTATAGGTAATTTAGGTTTTTACATATTTAATCGATGTAGGTCAAGTGCGTGCAATTATATTATTTTCATGATCACTCTTCGTGAAATTTTGTAATGCGTTCGTACACCAGAATTATATAAAAAAGCTATTTAGATATTAGATAGGATAGTAACGTAGCTACTACTATATTATATACTGTTCGCAATTTCATCACCTAGCTTCATTTTGGGTGTTAAAAGTTAAATTATCCCTCTCACAACAATACGCTGAAATTCATATTGAAATTCAACCTTATTCTTGTCACTTCAATTCGCCTATAAAACAACTTTAATACCCGAATTTGTAAGCTCATTTTTCATCTAATTTAATTTTTTGTCGTTAAAAATGTCTAGTAGTAGGAAAACATATTAAAACATAAAACATTTCTTTTTTTTTTCGCTGGCCTATCTTCATTATTTTATTTGTACAGTTGAAACAATACCTACCATCGAATCTAATGTTACGAAAAAAAAAAGAAAAAAAAAAATTCGGTTGGCGAGCATCGATTTCAGAAGAATAACGTAATTTGTATATTGTAATGTTTTTTTTTTTTACGGTTTGAAATATCGCTGAACGAAAAATATCATGTATATAGAATAATAATAAAAAAAGCAACGCTTTTTCAAGAATAATAATTACAGGTTGATGAGTCGATGATGTTATCGATATTATTTGGTAAATTTGTACGTTTCGCGGCTTATAATTTTGTTGACATTAATTTTCTTCTTATCAATTATATGACCTTATTTGTTCCTAATTATACACCGATGATTTTTTAATTTTTAATGCAGCGATAATTAAATCGTGTAGAAAAAAAAAAAATTACATATAAAAATTCCGTTAGGTCGTCAGTCATCGTATTGCTCGCGGACATTTCTTTTCGTTTCGTGAAATTCGATGGTATATTGTTACGTATAGTCCGTACGAATATAACAACCTAAAGGTATAAGCCCGCGAAAAAAACAACGAATAGTTTTGTTTTGCTTTTTTTTTGGTCCGCTCTAATATAGGTACAAGGAATACAGTACCTAACACATAATACCTAATATAAAATATTAAGACAATAATATTATACGATTATCAACACTAACCTGACATTTTTCCCGGGCGTTTATAAAAACGTATTTACATCATGCGCCGCGAGTTGTCGAAATAACGTATAGGTGATAATAATAACCACGGCCGATCGATCGGTTAAAGATCGCTCTGTTGCGATATTCTTGTTTAAATCATCCCGCGTATTACCGTATGGCGTTTGTTCTAAAAAAAAAAAAAACATAAACCGTAAGCATAATAATTATATTGTTTATACGTGCGAATAAACATAATATAATGGAACATTTTTTTATAATTTGTTTAACGATATTTCGATGTTTTTCGAGTGAATATCGAGCGCGAAACGCACCGATCGGATCGATCGAAAAACGTAGTATGACGATATTATACTTAATTTATAGGTACCTATTTTTATTCGACGAAAAAAAAAACCCGCGATTTTGTTTTTGTATTATAGAAAAACGTGAAAGGGACTACACCGCCTTATTGTGCAACTGCTCGTTTAGTTTGGCGGAGTAACGCTATGAAACCACTCGACGGTGCCTACACTGTCGGGCGATATTATACCGCAGCTGCCGTATCGCGGATTCTATATTGGCACGAAAAAAACAAAAAAAAAAAAATATAAAAATCGATAATAACGACGATAAAAATACGATGTATTGTGTAGGTAACGATATCAACCGTCGTGGAAAATCGCGCACGCTTACGCCGCGACGATAATAGCGAAACGGTAACAAAAAAAACCAATTCGATTACGATCCCGACGGTTTACCGCGATTACCGAAGGGAGGGCGACAAAACGACAAATGTAGACTTTCGTGATGTATGTTATTACGTCCGATTGTTTTCGTACTCGTATCGTTTTGGACCCGTTTCCCCTTGTACTATGCGGTTTTCGGACGACGACGGCGGCACAGACGAGCCGCGAGCTGCTGTTGTCATACTAACGTCGCGAATCGATTTTCCTACGAGAGACCGCGCGAACACAGCGGTATAATGATAGTAAACGTAGGCCCGTGTACAAAACGCGCGTCGTACAGTGGGGGAATAATTTCCACGGTGCACATACGTGTGCGCGTGTGTGCGAGCGCGCGCCGCGCGCTTGTGTGTGTGTGTGTGCGTATGTGTGTGTATTGTATACAGACTGGTCCGTGAGAAAAAAAAAATTATATTGCCCGATAACCGATATTTTTTCTTCCGTATACACGGATAAAAGACGAAACGATGATAACGCACTACTATACATCGTGTATGTTTATTTATCCAGGACAATGAACGGCAATCGTTTAGCTGTTGTTTAGATAACGTTGTCGTATTTTACGTCTCGTAAAACTACAATTATCAAAATCATATAATTCACGTTTCGAAATATCGTGCACAGAAAATGACCGTCCGATAACTTTTCGGATACAGAATCATTTTTTCACAGCACGCGTCTAAAATATCTAATCACATATTGTTGCGCTTTCAAACTCCCCAAAACAGTTAAAAATATACTTTCGAGGAACGATCGTAAAATAGTTTATAGTATATTATTATCATTGTTGTCTACTGTTATAATATCTATACGCGTATTTAGTAAAAATAAACCAAGATGTTACGGTAATGTATAGTGTGCTATCGTGGTCTAGATCGGGTAGTTTTTAGACGGTTGTTGCGGTTTTTTGGTCTTTTGTGTTTTCGTTTTACAATCCGCCACATAATTGACGCGCGATTTTTCTGGAGAGCGTTCAAAACGAAATTACACGATTTTCGAAAAAAGTTAACTGTATCGACGAATGCGTCCATGCTATGACGTCCGACCGACCGACTTTTATCCAACGCGATTAACCGCGTCGTGATCACAATAAATAATAACAAGAATCACGAAGAAAGCGGTGGGGTGGGGGAGAAAAAATATTATATATGTTCAAACAATGACGTAATACAATAATAACGTGCGGAAGAAAGGAAGGAAGGCGCACACCCTGTATGCAAACGTACGCACGCACGCACTGGCACATGCGCGCCCGTTTTGAATGAAAATGGGGTCGCAGCGGCGGTGAGGGTGACGGACTTTTGGTGCGTAATACTACTACTACTACTACTACTACTACTACTACTACTACTACTACTACTACTACTATTACTATTACTACACTACTGTCACTACTATAATTTTATACTACACTACTACTGTTACTACTACTGATACTGTATTACAACTACTACCGCTAATAATAATAAACACTGCATTATACGGTTACCGTGCAACGAACTCGGGGTGAAAACCGCATTTTGTATAAAATTATCGACGAAATAAAAAACATATTACAGAATATACCGTTCGTATTAAGTAGGTGCGATACTCGTATACTGTCGAAAAACTCACGGTATAATTAAAAAAAAAAAAAAACCCGTTTTACGGGGTCGTTTGAACTTTAAAATATTTTACAATCAATTCACAGTTTTAGATTTGGAGCGTAACGGGGAATGTGTTAATTGGTTTTAAAACGATGTTTATTCTGTTCACTTCCATCTTCCCTCCTGAAACAACAATCCGCAGTATATCAGACTTAAAAAAAAAAAATAAATAAAAGATTTAATAGCTACGGTAATAAGGAGGTTAAAACATTTTAACTGGTAACTAAAAATTAGAATTACACACATTCATAAATTATATTTATGTATTTATTAATAATGTCCTAACCGGCTTTGTTCGTGTAATAAAAAAAGTTTTTATATAAAATTAATAGGATAAAATATTATCACTATATGTTATTAAGCATCATCGAAATTAGGATTTTTAAAACGCAGTTGGACAGAATTCAATAGTTAACATGCGTTAAAAAATATTTATTTCTCTTTAGTACACTCATAACTTGAATATGCAACTATTATCTGATCACCTACTAACATTCAAAATTCTCAATCGTTTTAATCCATCCAAAATGTGTTTCTAAGATTCATTTCCTATACAAATGTAATGTATAAAAACCACTACATTTTTCGTATGATGGAGTTTTGGATTTCTTTAAAATATCCACATTACAAAATCGAAGAAATTATTTAAATTTCATGTATTTATAAATTATTAAACAATAATAAGCTTGATTGTTCTCATTGATGTATTTCAAGTTTTTTTTGCCCAGGGATTATAATTTTTGCCATCCCTATCTCTGCAATATCAGTCTATTGCAGCATTAGTTATTAAAACATAAGTACACAATTTATACAAAAATACAGTAACATTTAACATGAACAATAATATCCTTTATAAAAAAAAAAAAAAAAAAAAAAAAAAAAAACAAGTACTCATAATAAAAATATCCGAAATATTTGTTTTATAACTTTGATAACATTAAAGTTTATAATAAAATCAAGTATGTATTTAACAATTTGTATGGATTTTATGTGAGGAACTCATTAATTATATCCTCATAATCAATTTTCTACAAATTTCTATGTTGAGAATAGTAAAACTGTTTAAATGAGTAATTTGTTGATTTCGACGCAAGTAATTTTTAATGTTGAGACGGACCTTTCAGCATAAAAGTTTGAGGTTGTAAGGAATAAAACAAATTCTTGAAACTATGTCGATGTAAGGAAATAGATCACTTTTATTATTTTCGTTTATCAACATACTCATTTCTAATCATATACGTGAAATTTGTTGTATACCTTTTTAAAAGATAGTTACGAAAACAGTGGTGGCGTCAGGGACGAGCCAGATGGGGCCATGGCCCTACCAATGGCTCTATCTCTGGTCTGGCCTTTGACATAATAATATACCTAATAATTTTACATAAGCAGAAAATAATAGTATTTGTTCACCGTATGTAACTTTAATATACTACTATATAATATTACATGATAATTAAGTCAACCAATTGCAAAAAGTCGTATGTCCAATCTCAGCCGAAATCGATATCATGTCATTTTTTTTTGTTAGTCTATCATCTTCTGTTCGTACAAAGTTCCAAAACGTTTACTATATAGCCTATTAAATTTTTGAAAATTAATTTAAAATTAGTTTGCTTTCATCTAATCGTTTTTATTTTAAAAATAAAAAAATGTATTTTCATTTCTTTTTGATTTCCTAAAAGTTTTAAAACTAAATGTTCCTATTTATTGTTCCTACAATTCTATGTTGATATTTTATGTGACGAAGTTCAGCTATACTATTTCAGAATGTACCACGAGAGTCCACTTAAATTGATGATGAATGAAGATATAATTCATTATTATAATTATTATACATGTTAAAAATATTTCTATATTTGGTTGTTGAGATAGTTTTGTTTGTAATACACATCTATGCATTCATGATTCATAGGTACTTGTATATGTTTTATGTATGGTCTATATTTAATAGTTTATTAAATATAAGTTAAATAGAATTTACCTATTTGACCTGAAAAACTTATATTTAAATCATTATTATATATTTTACAAAGTTCATTTGTACTGATATCCAATTCAGAGAATGAAAGAGTTGTACATTTCAGTAAAAATGAGAATTTTTGCTTTATATCTTTAAAAGATTTTATTCTTTTTTTCCAATTCGGCATCGAGTTTATCCAAAATTCCGAAGTAGGTGTTCACTTTTAATGATTCACGACTACTAAAATGTACATCTTCTCCAGGACTTTCGTTAATTCCTTTTTCTTCGTATATTAGTGAAATAAGTTAAGCCCGACTTCTCTACAGCTAAATGTTCATAATATATTTATATCAAACATATTATGTCTCATTTCTTTAAGACACTGGTGTAATGAATTACACAAACAAATTACACATTCAATATCAATTTCTACTGTTTGAAGTTTTTTAATTGTAGCGTTAAAGCGTTCTAAGATTTAGTTCCAAAATTGATCTATTGTATGGTATAAAAAAAATGTCAAATTAATTTTTTTTTTTAATTAATAAATTACTTAAAATTTGACGCCCAGGGCTATAGCCCTGGTTTGCTGTAGGGTAAATACCTCCCCGATTGTCCTCAAATCCTAGAAAAAATTAATTTTAAAATTTACAATAAAAATACTAGGAAAAAATACTTGTTTTTAATAAATAATGTTAAAAATAATTATTTGCGATGCTTTCCTGTCAATACCTTTATGGCCATCGATAATAGAACAAAGCCTGATTCATTATTCTGTAATCCACGGCCGGTTATCAAGACCTCTTTAAATGTGTAATAATATGAAAGTTATTTTTTCTGTTACCGTATTATGTTTGTTTTTGTATAATAGTATGCAATTATTTGTCATCAGTCTTTATAGCTTTGTCATTGTTGTTAAATTAATTTTTATATTTGTTATATTTTATGCCCATATGATTGCTATTCATTATTACTAATTATTATTAATTCTGCTTTCATTATTCATTGTTTTTGTTTTTGTTTTTTTAATTAAAATCTTTTATTAGTTTAGGATAAGTATTAATTTAACAAATTATTCGATTTCTGATATTAAATTTATATATTGTATACTGAAATTTACTCCGTATAAATAAATAAATAAATAAATAAATAAAGTACCATCGTAGATATACCTGCACAGCACAAAGGACTGCACTACAAAAATATATAAAAATGTTTTTGTTTTCATCCGTGTTACAAAGGTAATCAATAAATCAACCAAAATGATTAGATTTGTGTACTAAAGTACTTAAAAACATAGTATTCAATAGGGGGAGGGGTGGATTTCAATAGTAATAAACCTTCTCCAGACAACGTGAAGAAACTTACCAAAGTTTCACGGCGGTCGGATGAATGGAGTAGTAAATAGTAATGCATAAACCGACAAATATTCGTTTTTATATAATATTTTCTATACACTCGCTCCCTCACTCCTTATATAGTACCCAAACGTACTACGAATTATTGACACAATCATCGTTTTGACCGTTTTATGCATCTAGTCAATACTCTCTCCAACCGTCATTCTACAAAATTAAAATTAATATTATAATATTTT